GGGAAAGGTGGAAAAAAATCTCTTTCAAGAAGAGCACAAGCTTTGAGCACCCAGCTACAGCATCAGTACTGTGTGGAAGAACAAAGAAAAGGGAGAAGGGGTAAGTGGAGGAGACTCCAGGGAGCTCAGTGAGACAGCTGCAGATGGACTCTCCAGAGGAAGCCACCTGGGAAAAAGGGATGGCATTCTAGCTGGGATCTGGAATACCCCCAGTCCACAGTGCTAATGGGAGGGAGTCAGTGAAAACTTTTAGAGGCCTGTCCTAGTGAGATGTAGGTTACAGTCTCTGAAGGGGACTGTAGGGTCTGTGTCCCCACCCCCTCCTCTTCCTTTGGCCATGAGGAGTGGTTGACTAAGACATCTGTTCCTGTCCTGCCGCTGCACCTGACTTGGAAGTAACTGGTCCATCTGATCGTTGGATGGGAGCCTGCAGATGCGAGCACCCCCAGGGGTCTATTACAGGCATGGTCAGTTAACACAGATGGAAAGGGGTCCAGGAGGGTCAGACCCACAAAGAAGTCACTGGGGCTGGTGAAGGCCCGGTGGGTAAAGTGCCTGCCATGTGATCCCTGGGACCCACATAAAGATGGAGGAGAGAAGGGACATGACCAGTGTTGCCCTCTGATGTCCACGCATGTGCTGTGGCACACTCTGTCTACACATCATACTCATACTGACTAAAAAGGAAGTTCCTTTATTCTTGAGCCCACTTTACTATTTATTACTGAGCCAAAGAAGTTTTTCTTTTTTCTGAAAATTCTACTATAAATATAGGTTTTCAATTTGCAATTTGTAGGATTACAAAGATTAAAACATTTTGGTAAGTTTTAAAGCCACTAGAGAATTATCAATTTTACTGAAAAATAATGTTTCAATCTGGGCAAAAACCAGTATAAAAGAAGGCAAGGGTAGAAAGTGAAATTCAGTAAGACTGTAAGTGGTTTGCCATGCGATTTTTCATACCCTCAGTTTCTTCCCAGGAGGCATCAGCTGATGGAGGACGAAAACATCTACCCACAAGAAGATCACATTAATACAAAAAGAAAAGTCACAAAGCAAGATCAGGAAGAATTATACCACAAATATTTCAAAACATTGGGTGCCTTAGAGATTTAAAGTCAGACTTTTTTATCACCTGCTACCTTTCCCACCCTCCTCCCAATCTGCAGATGAAGTTACCCCAACAGTTACACAGGCCATTTTAGACAGAACGCCACAGCAGTGAGGACTGGGCTGTGGGGTTCCAAACTTGCACTGATTCCCTACTCTAGATACTTGCCTGGGGAGAGGAGGGCAAGGGACAAGGGCCCTAAAAAGGGAGAAGAGGCACCAAGTTACATTGTTAAATGAGTATGGGGACTGTGGAGTTCAGAGGGCAAAGGCTGCCATGAAGAAGCCTCTTGTGATGGACTGGAGAGATGGCTCAGAGGTTAAGAGCACTGGCTATTCTTCCAGAGGTCCTGAGTTCAATTCCCAGCAACCACATGGTGACTCACAACCATCTATAATGAGATCTGGTGCCCTCTTCTGGCATACAGGCATACACGCAGACAGAACACTGTATATGTAATAAATAAAAGAAGCCTCCTTGTGGGAGAACTTAGGTTCAGCCATGAAGAAAAGCAGGGCTTTGCTGGGGCGGTGATGTTTGAGATGTAGTGATTTGCATGACAGCCTCGACATGTTCAGCAGAGTATACATAAAAGGTATGGCCAGGGAGGTAGTGGTAGGTGGTGGCTGACTCTGCATACATACTCCATTCTAGGGACCATATAGGCAGATGTATTAGTGTGGATTAGGGACTGATGGAGGCCACTGAGCAGAGACATGGTTCAAGCTGCACTTAAGACAAGTCATCTGGTAGTAGTTGAATCAGACAGGGCAGGGTTTGTGAATCCCTGATGATTTAAAGGACCATTGCAACAACTTCCTGGGAGCTGAGAAGGGACCTGGATCAGAGTGACGTCAGTAAGAAAGGTGTGATGTTTGGGAGGAATTAAAAGTATTTGGTGACTGAAGCCGGGCGGTGGTGGCGAATGCTTTTAATCCCAGCACTTGGGAGGCAGAGCCAGGCAGATCTCTGCAAGTCTGAGGCCAGCCTGGGCTACAGAGCGAGAGCCAGGACAGGCACCAAAACTATACGGAGAAACAAAAACAAAAACAAAACAAAAAAGTATTCGGTGATATGTCAAAAGCACCAGTGTTGACGTTTAGGTGGCTGAAAGAGCATCCTAGGACACAGCCACTGTTAGCCACAGGGAGAGAAGTGATGAGTAGTGGTGTCAGGTAAAGCAGACCTGAACCAAGCATTGAATGTTCAGAGAAACGGAGCTATACTCAGAAAACCATCTCTTCTGGTCTTAAATACCACCAGGGAAGTAGGTATTTTTGATTAAACGACTCACAAGATTTAGAAAATCTTTTTGTAGAGACTCATACTGTGGGACATATGGAGCGTTCATGCGCTGCTGTAGCTGCTCCATCTGGGAAGTAAGAGAGTCTAATTTTAGACACTGAAGACAGATTAGGTCACTCATCTTCCCTAGAGAAAGTTGCCATCATGCACTCATTAGCAACTTTCACATGGTAATTGTTCTGTGTGCTCATTTCCAAGGTTTTCTTTTTTTTTTTTTTTGAGACAGGGTTTCTCTCTGTAGTTTTGGTGCCTGTCCTGGATCTCTTGCTGTAGACCAGGTTGGCCTCAAACTCAAGCGATCCTCCCGAGTGCTGGGATTAAAGGCATGCGCCACCACCGCCCAGCTTGATTTCCAAGTTTTTTACATTAAGAAACAGTGTATATTAACTTACACGGTAATAGATCTGTGATATTTTTGTTCATATTCCATATATTTTTAAAGAATTCAACCATCAGCCGGGCGGTGGTGGCGCACGCCTTTAATCCCAGCACTCGGGAGGCAGAGCCAGGCGGATCTCTGTGAGTTCGAGGCCAGCCTGGACTACCAAGTGAGTTCCAGGAAAGGCGCAAAGCTACACAGAGAAACCCTGTCTCGAAAAACCAAAAAAAAAAAAAAAAAAAAAAGAATTCAACCATCAGTACAAGCTGTTCAAACAAAAACCCACCACTAACCATTCACTGTTTGGAGGAGAGGTGGGTATGTATAAATGTCTGTGCTGTGACAAGATCCCTAAGGGTTAGTCCAGAGCCAATCTAAAGGATAAAACAAAGTCAAAACTCGTGAGAAGTCACATGAGGGGACAGCTGAGGACCACGTGCTGTCTGCAAACTGTACTTTCAGGTTACTGTATGGAGCCAGCTGACAAAAGGATCCTTAAAGACATTGCACTTGAGTCTTCTTTTTGTTTTTAACCTTTCTAGAGCTTTACTGGGGGAAAGGGGGGGGGGGAGGAAGAGGGAGAGAGTGCAGAAAGAGAGCGAGTCTTATTTCTATAAATCATGTAGTAGATTTAAAGTCCATAGGTTACTACACAAAGAAATCAGGTAACTGATTTTTATGGAAAACAAGGTAGAACCATTTGGAGTTCAAAAAACCAGGTTTTCTGAAAAAACAAGGAAAAACCAGACTTCTGTCTCTCCATGGGTTTCTAGCAGGATGGCTGATTTTTAAGTTTGTTACTCTGACCACAGGTATCTTTTGGAATTAGCTCCAGGACCCCTGTGGATACCAAAGCAGGATCAGAGCTAGGTGCTCCGAGTGACCCAGACGACCTGAGTACTTGAGAAGCTGTGTATGAGTTGTACACAAATACAGTATCACTTTCTTGGGACTTGGGCATCCAGATTTTCCTGTACCATGGATCAGTTCTCTCCTTAGATACCAAGACGGGCAACAAGAAAGGAAGCAAATGGCCCTCACAGTCACATTTAAAGTGCTTTTATTTCGTGCCAGCCATGGTATGACCTCTTTGTATAATAGTTTTTAAAACTATTTTTATGTTCATTGGCGTTTTGCCTGTATGTGTGTGTGTGTGTGTGTGTGTGTGTGTGTGTGTGTGTGAGAGAGAGACAGAGAGAGAGAGAGAGAGAGAGAGAGAGAGAGAGAGAGTGTGTCAGATCCCCTGGAACTGGAGTTACAGTTGTGAGCTGTCATGTGATACTGGATACTGAACCCAGGTCCTCTGGAAGAGCAGCCAGTGCTCTTAACTACTGAGCCATCTCTCCAGCCCCATGGTGTGACTTTTTAAAGAAAGGTGAATGCATATATTGAATTGGAATTCTTTCAATGCACCATGATTTTGTGTGCACGGGTGATTGTGAATGGGTGTGGAAGCACCTGTGGCTGTGGAGATCAGAGGCTGATGTTGGCAGTCTTCTTCTAACAGTCTCCTCCCAAGGCAGGGTTTCATGGGAAACCAGAGCTAGCCATTCGATCCAGTGATTTCACTCCAGCCCTCATTCCTCTCTGCTGCTCCCCCCAGTCCTGGTGGATTACCACTACTACTGGTTTACAGAATTGTGGAAAATCAGTGAGGAACTCTACCATACCGGCACCTGCTCCCCAAGGTCTCAGTAGATCAAGCTACCCGACCATCAATTCTGCTCCGCAGACGTCTGGAAAGAAACCAAATACAATGTTCAGAACACGAGACACTCTTCCTGTTCTTCAGAGTGTGACCACTTACTGCACACTTCAAATGGCTTATGCTGGACCTCGCTTGTTGTAAGGTGGTTTTTGGGGCTCTCAACATCTTTCACTTTTCTTTTTTGGTTTTTCGAGACAGGGTTTCTCTGTGTAGTTTTGCACCTTTCCTGGATCTCGCTCTATAGACCAGGCTGGCCTCGAACTCACAGAGACCTGCCTGCCTCTGCCTCCCGAGTGCTGGGATAAAGGCGTGCGCCACCACCGCCAGGCTATCGTTCACTTTTCTTCGTGAGCGTTTGTTTGGAACAATCTACCGTATCTAGTGTAAGAATTACACATACTGCCTCCTGTCTTTTAACTTGTAATGTGGTAAATGAGTCTGATTTAACAAAACAAAACACAAAAACCCCTCCAAAAATTCAAGACACATTTGATATATGGATTTTACAATAAAGTTTATTAGCTGTTCTCCTCTTTCTCATAAATGGAATGGATAATGTTGGTAATTTTTTTTACAAACCAGTACTCATTTAAGAAATTTTAACAAGGTTGCCAAAAAACCACATATTGAATAAACAATTCCAAAGAGCAATGGGAAGCCAAATGATGATAATAATGAACTAGAGAGACCGATTTCTGAAGGCATTCGGCCTCTCACTAAAATTTAACAAGTTTGCTGTAAAGACCTGTGCAATTCTAGTACAGCGCAGCTACACAAGATGATGTCTGGGAAATCTCCAGAGTGGAGCTTGTTCGTCTACTAAGGAGAGAGAACTAAAAGGAAAGGCGGAGGACCCAAATCAAACTCCACGACAGGCACACAACACTGACAGGAAACCTAGGAATCCTCTGGAACTTCTGTAGGAAGGAGGAGAACATGCTCACACGTCTACCTGCAGTCTAGTTTTCTAGGTTTTCCTCACCACCACCATACACTTGCTTTCAGTTCACATGATTAAGGAAGATAGTCTCATCAATTAATACTTAATTTAAAAACCAAACAAAAAGTTAGAAGTAGGTGGCAAAAGAAAAATATATTTTAAATATATATATATGTTTGTGTGTGCAACTATGTAAAGAAAATAATTCCCATAGTTACAGAGTTTAGTTAAAGAAAGTTTTATATATATTTATATATATTTTATTATAACAAAATAGGCAGTTATTGTGGGTAAAATAGTCATTAAAATCTGCCCCCCTCCCTAAGCATACATTAAAATTTCAGGCTATGAACTGGACACCTTCCCACTGACATGATTATCACAGCTCCACATTAACTTTCTTGTCTGTGGAAAGGTGAGCCCCTGAACCCCTCAACAGAGCTGTAATGAGGAAATGTATGGACAACACTAACCAGTGCTGCCCACGCTGACTACAGCACACACCACTGTTCTTCCTAGCAAGTGGACTAGGGGAGGGCTCACATGATAAAGACCTCTCATGAATAACAAATAGCCCTCCTGAAATTATGAGTTAACTCAGACATTCATTTTGAAATAAAACCCCTATCTTTCTTGTCTTTAGTGAAATAATTACTTTAATACCAGAAGTCAACTGAGGAAAGAACTTGAGAGCTATGACGCCGGCCAAACCATGCTATTAAATAAGCGTGCACTGTTGCTCACGGTCCACTGAGTCACTGGTGAAAACCACCTTTCCTTCGTTTGTACTGAAACTGGAAAAGAATGCATATAAAGCTTTTCTGAAAATCTCTGAAAGTTAACTTTCCCTTAAACATTAAGGAATTTCACAATTTTGCATCTCCCCAAACCCTTGATAGCTGGTCCGGCCACTCCTCTTCAGTCTGAAGAATGGCCGGACCCCGAGAGTAACACAGAATAATACAATGATGCAACATGAAGGAGACACTGGATGTCAATAACGGGCACAGGTGCCAACCGTGAGGGGTCTGAGTCAGTGTGAGAGGAGACTCAAGAGACTCCAGGACAGGGGAGAGAAACGAGACCGTGGGAAAGGAACAGGAAAGCCATCTTCATAATTTCTCTTTTGCTGGGACCCAGATATAAGGACCAGACTGCTCTTCTATGACCAGCTTCACCTGGTTGTAGATGTCCTCCAGCGTGTCTCCCTGTACAATGGCTGTAACGACAGAAAGTCCCAAGGGTCCGTGAGTTGTCTTTCTTTGCCATCAACAGTACTGTGGACTGGGAGAAGGCAAACCTTGGAAGCAGTTGTACACAAGGATCTCCTACTTGCTTGGCAACAACTGGTCATTCAGCTAATTTCACTACGTGTACAGCACACACACACAGGGACCAAAGATGAGACGTGGCCATCCTCCTTTACCTTTTGTTTTGTTTAGTTGCTATCATCTGAGCTTGTATTAGCGCACTCACCCACTCATCTGATGGTGCTGGAGCCTGAACCAGGGCCTCGCACAAGCTAACCACATGCTCTATCTCTGATTTATGATTTCCTCAACTTTTGTGGGAACTACAGAGAGCAAGCACAGCCTCGTTATCTTATGGTGGCGGGGTAGGATAGTAGGGAAAGACAGCTGACTGAATTGTGTACTCTGCTGAAGTATGAAGTGAGACAGGTGCTGGGTGTAGGTGGACTGATATACATAACTTGGGGTCTTGTAGTTAGAAACTATTAAAATCAATATTAAGAAATAACGTGTGAATAAAAAGTGGCAACACAGGCATGTATTATGGTGCACACCTGTAATTTCACGACTTGAAAGGCAGAGGCAGGGGGATTATAAATTCTAGGTCAGCAGGGGCTACACAACTAAATCCTGTCTCAAGAATCACAAACAGAGCTGGGCAGTGGTGGTGCACACCTTTAATCCCAGCACTCGGGAGGCAGAGCCAGGTGGATCTCTGTGAGGCCAGCCTGGTCTACAGAGTGAGTTCCAGGACAGGCGCCAAAGCTACACAGAGAAACCCTGCCTCGAAAAATCAAACAAAACAAAAAAAAATCACAAACAGTAACAAGAACAAAAATGGCAGTGATTACTAAGAACTAATTATGTGGGTACTTGGAGCCTCTAGTCTGTAAGGCTCAAAGGTGAGTTAATGAAACTAAAGAGGACTCCATGGAGCCAGGTGGGTGGCTTACAGAGACTAATCCAGCACTCAGAAGGCCCAGGCAGGTCTGTAAATGTGAGGCCCACATGGGCTAGCACTAAGTGTGAGCAGGTGTATGGAAACCATAATGTCTAGTTTCTGATGGCCTGAGACATCTGGAATAAAATGCCAAATGGAGATGAGATGTTAGGTAACACTGTCTGGCTGGTGAATGAGGTTAAGTGTACCATAAGGAGGAACATCTATGTGCAAAAGAAGAGCTTCTACGTAGTGAAGACTGTTGGAGTAATCAAAAGTTTTAAGTTTTATAATGTTTGCAAGTATCAGTTTTGTGATAGAAGTTCACATTCTGAGCTACACAGAGGTATCCTTTAATATCTGCAGAGACACAGACATTTGGCAAACACCAGCTTCATCTTGACTGGCTCACAATGCTTCACAGGGCAGGCCACAGTGGCGAGCAGTGAAGGGCAGCTGCTGAGGTATGCCTTGGGAAACACACACACTTTGTTTACTGGGTAAGTTGTGGTTCTCCTGGGTTGGAAAAGCAAGAGGTCAAGGCCACAGACACCTCAGCCATTACCACTGACACCACCACCACTAGGAACAGTCCAGGATGGCATCCCAAGACTGCATGCTGCAGAGGCTCACAGTGTCGCTTCTTTGACAGGCGTGCTCCAAACTCAGATCCCACATCTGGGGAGATCACAAGCTTCCCACTGGCTTTCACTCGGAAAGCATGTCAAGGTTATGACTGACTAATAAATAAAGGCTAATGGGTAGTTCTAGATTAAAGTAGATCCAATATACATGCTCCTGGATTGGATCCTGAAAATTTTTTTTTGTCATTTCACTCTAACACTGCTAATATCTGGGGAAAGTCTGTATTAAAAGGTAAGATTATCAATGTTAAATTTCCTGAGTTTGATTAGCAGCATTCTCATTATATGAGGGATATAAGCAAACATTCAAATGTCTTTTTTTTTTGAAATATTGACATATTTAGAAGTAAAGGACATCTATTTGTAACTTACTCCCCTGTTTTAGAGATAAAATGATAACATTTGGAAAATATGGGTAAAGGGCACGAGCTGTTCTTATGCTAATATTCGTATGGTTTCTAAGTCTGAAATTAAAAAAAAAAACAGACCCCCTCTGCCTTCAGCACATGGCTTATGATGTCAGAGCACTTACTGGAACTCATGTGATCATTAGTTTAAATGAGGTCTTCGAGGTACTGTGTGTCGTGGTCCTAGCTACTCAGGCAGCAAATGTAAAGAGTCACTTGAGTCCAGGAGTTCAGGGCCACCTTGGGCCACCCAGCCAGATCCTCTCTTTTCTAGCCAAGTCTAAGCTGTTGTACCAGCAGTGGGCTAGTTGCTGCCACAGTGGGGTTGTTCATAGTCCCTCTAGCCCTCTAGTAGCCTGTGTGTGCTGGCTGTCCTTCTGTAGGTCAGACAGTACAGAGGCACTCACAAACTGTAATCCCTTTCATGCTTGAATTCCCAGTCCTCCCAACTGTCAGCTAAAACATTATTGCTCATACCCATTCTACTGTATACTGTTACTGTAGCAGAAAACACACTAAGACACATGATCCAACAATCTCATTTCTGGGTATATACCCAAATAAAAAGAAATCAGTGTATCAAAGAAACACCTGCAATTCTTCATTAACCTCAACATTCACAATAGACAAAATAATGAAAACCACCTATACACTTGTCAACAAAGAAAATACGGGGCATCTAAATATATATATGATGAAAATGGTAGTCAGCATAAAAAGGAGTCCTATCATTTTTGATAACATGAGCGAATATACAAGACACTACACTAAATTAAACAAGACACACAAAAATCCATTTTCCATGGCCTCATTTACCTGTGGAATCTAATCTGAATTCCTAGATGAGTACAGTAACGGCTCCCTGAGACTGGGAGTGGGGGAGGAGAAGAAAACTGATCAAAGGATACACATTTCTCTTTTCAGGAGGACATGTGGCCCTATGGCCACAGCACTGGGAAAAACAAGACCCTCCAAAGACAATTTCTGTATCTGATGTACAGCATGGTGACTACATCAGCCAAAGCAGACCTCAAGTGACCTCACCAACACACACCACACACCAGAAACTGTGCTGATGTATGTACTACCATGACTGTGGAAATCAACTCACAAAGTATATGATATTACACTGTACACCTGAATACCTCTGAATTCTGTAAGTTCTATCTCAGTAAGCCCAGGGAGAATAGATCAAAATTTACAAAGGGTAAGAGAGAAGGCCGAGGCTTCACAGAAGCAGTGAAATTAAATCTAGTTTCCTCTGGTCGATTATGAATTCTTCCTGCACGCACACCATAGGAACACGACATCTTAAGGCTCCCCATTCCCAGCTAGGCTAACTTTTGAGTATTCTGTGGGATAAAACCCACAGATCTTGTAGTTTACTTTGAAAACTACAGGATTAGTTACTACGAGTAAATGTGGATAGAGCAAAATTCTCTCATAAAGGGCACTGTCACACATGGTTCCAACCTGTAAAATGTTCAGTGAATTCCTGTTCCAACTTCATGGCTCTCTCAAATGTTTTTCTGGCTTGTTCTTCTGTTAGGCGCTTATTCATTTCCCTATGCAAACAAATTTAGAAATTGGTGATTACCATATTGTAATACTCTTTGAAAAAAGATGAGAGAAGACATAAAATAATGGGAGTTCAACTCTGGCAAACCGTAGCCGTCACTAAGAACAGCTACAGCCACAGGCCTGCTGCCCAACACACAGTGGGAAGAGGGCTGCAGCGCTTTCTACACCAGCTCAAGGCAGCCAGTGCACTCACCTCGGACAAGTCTCACAGTGCATGTCATGGTACGTGATCCATAGGCCTATATACCAACTCACAGACTGTAAATGAACACACCAAACAGCACAACCAGAAAATACAGCTTGAGGAAACAGTAAAATAACCTAGCTTCTTCGCTGCTTAAAGTGTAGTGGAATGAGAGAGAAGAAAAGGGAGGAAGACTTGTGTACTACAAGTTTAATCATCTGTCCTGAGTAAAACTTACTTAGAACTTGGTTAGAGGGAAAAACTGTAAACATATGACATAAGGAAATCTGACTATATGATATTAAAAATAGTAGTTAAATGCCACATTCGCAGTGGAAATGCTTCTAATTCAGTAATTACTCTTCAAATATATGAAATGACACATGACATTTATTTCAAAATAATCTGGGTGTGTGTGGACAGAAGTAGTAAGCCAATCCTAAATCTTCTTGCAGCGGCATGATGGGTATGCAGGAAGGGATTTGGTCCCACTTGTGACAGGAAGCCTTTGGTATCTCAGCATGAAGAAGAGTATTTCGTGTGGCTATGGTACAATGTTCTTTCAATCAGGATTCAGAATTTCAATCAGGCATCAGAGTTCCCTAGACACTTCTTGTAGGGTAGGTATAATGGTGATCAACTTCTGCTTTGGTTTATCTGAGAACATCTTGACTTCCTCATTTAAGAAGAATTTTATTATTCTATGTGTCATGGTACATGGGCATACATACCATGGCATCCATGTGGAGGTGAGGACAACTTTGTGGTAGTTTCTCTCCTCACCTTCACATGGGTTTCAGGGATTGAATGCACACCAGGCTTATGCAGCAAGCTCATCTCCTTGCTGGGCTGGATCACTGGCCCTTCCCCTACTCTTGCTGGGTGTAGGATTCTTGATTGACAGGCTCTCTTTCTTCCGTGTTTTTGATGCATCGATTCACTGCCTTCGGACTTCAAGTTTCTGACAAGAACTCTGCTGACAATCTTACTGGAAAATCTCTTGGATGCAATGTCATCACTCATGTTGTGTACAACACTGTCTTCCAACAGTCTGACTGTAATGTGCCTCTCAGGGCACCTCATTTCTTTTGCTTGAACTTTACTCAACATCTTGGACATTTATATTCATTTTAAAATAAAATCTTGGAAGTTTCTTCAAATAATCTGTTTCCTGCTCCCATTTTTGGATTCATAATGCATGTAGGTCTATCTGATGCCGTCTCCCAGTTCCTTGAAGCTCTGTTAATTTTTTCTAATGTTTCTAGTTGGTCCTCAGACTTGATAATTTCCATTGTTCCATCCTAAGTTTGATGAGTCTCCTGTCTGTTCAAATTTACCTGAATCCTTCCATTTACTTTAGTAACTGGGTTTTTTGTTTTTGATTTTTTTTTTCATTCTCAGAACTGAAATAAAAGGGAAAGATCTTACTTTCAATTATGTGTCTTTGTGTTGCTGTATGGGTATGTGCGCATGGGTGCATTGTCTGTGAAGCCAGAAGAGGATGCTGGGTCCCCCAGAGCTGGAGCTACAGGCTGTTGTAAGCTGCCTACAGTGGGTCCTGGGAAGCTAAGTTGGATCCTCTCCAAGAGTAGTACGTGCTCTTACAGGGTGAGCAATCGCCAGCTCCCCAGAACTTCACATTTTCGTACTGATATTTTCAATTTGCCCAGACAGACTTTTCGTGACTTTGACCTTGTCTTTTATGTATCTTTAAGGTGTTATAAATATCATATAACATAAGAGCAGAAAGAATACTATGGGGACAAAGAGGGGGACAACAGAGGCGAACACAGGCGAGTATGAGCACTGAATGATATATATGCATGAGAATGTTATATGGAAACCCATAGTTTTTTATTTAAAAATCATGTATTGTAATAAAGTCATTTTACAGTCTGTAGTGAGTTTGACATCTGGTCTGTCTCAGGGAATTTATTTTATTTTTTCCTTTGAAAGGATCATTCTTTGCTATACTTTTGTACACTTTTTAAAAAAAGATTTATTTATTATGTATACAGTGTCCTGTCTGCACCAGATCTCATTACAGATGGTTGTGAGAAACTATGTGGCTGCTGGGAATTGAACTTGGGTCCTCTGGAAGAACAGCCAGTGCTCTTAACTGCTAAACCATCTCTTCAGCCCCCTTTGTATACCTTTTTGTTTTTGTTTAAACATTACATTTGAATCTTATGATTCAGTAACTCTGGACACTCATTTTTGCTGTTTTATTTAAAATTTTTTTATTCAGTTATCTGCTGCTGTAGAGTGTTTGTGTGCTGAGGCAGCCTGATAAACTTTTCTCAGGTACTCTCTGAGACTGTGCCATTCTATGGTCATGTACAATATATCTCTAAGTTAGACCCATATATGTGACTACTTTCAAATGTCCTGGGCTGGATACCAAAAAAAAAAAAAAAAAGACAACGGTCAAGGAGCAGGGGCAGGTCTGTGGAAAGGCACTGAGGCTTCCAGTCTTTGAAAATTACTTAATAACCAGGGGTGGCTTACTGTACTTCTAAGTCAGACACAGCAATCATTTAGCTGGCAGTTCCTCATCCACGAAGACAGGGTCTCTGTTGTGTCCTTGGTGCCTACAAATTGCATGTAGATTGCTGAAGAAATGCATGCATGGCTGCTTGCTATGGGGCTAAAAATAAAGGAATGGGGCGCTGACACCATGCTGAGAGCTAAAATTAACCTTTTAAACCAACGCTAGGGAGCTGTAAGGCTTCAAAAGATTTCAAAGTTCCAAAATAGGCCAAACAGAAAGATCCTGCCATAATCCATCACTATTTGGAGATCCTCTTGGGTGATCCTGCCACCCCCACCCCAGGCTTTGTTTATGGTGGACAAGCACTCTACGCTGGACCTTTAGTGCTCTGATGGATTTTTATACTCTCTCTCTCTCTCTCTATATCCATCCATCCATCCATCCATCCACCCACCCACCCACCCACCCACCTACCTATCTATCTATCTATCTATCTATCTAGGTTTTTTGAGACAGGGTTTCTCTGTGTAGCTTTGCACCTTTCCTGGAACTCTCTCTGTAGACTAGGCTGGCCTCGAACTCAGAGATTCATCTGTCTCTGCCTCCCGAGTGCTGGGATTAAAGGCATGCACCACCACTGCCCGGCTGGATTTTTAAATTTTAAACCAGCCTTATATTCTAGGAATAAACTCTGCTTGATTATTATTATTATACTTTATTAGGTGTAAGAACATGTAAGATTTTCTTTCCTTTTGTCCTTTTCTTGTTAACACTTTTTGAAGTGTAACTTTAAAAACATGGAAGTGTAGTATCTTAAATACTACAGCTTGACAAATGGTCACAAACCTGTGCACTGAGTACTCAGGTCCAATGCAGAGCATTACCAATGCTCTGGAAGTCAAGAATGCCATCCTCAAAGCTAAGTTTTATTTGGTTTTGCAAGAGATGATTAACCCTGGAATTTCAAAGCACACAAACATTTAGTTTGAGATCTTTTATTAAAATTTAAGATTCTTCTATGCATTTGTACACAGCTGGTGACTGCTCACGCTTATTTTTGCAAAATGTTTCATCATGAAAATGTAATTGATGTATTCGGCTGGTGGTAGTCATTTAGGTAGTTTCTAGGTGTTGGCTATTTGAATAGCACTTTTGCTGGCAAGCAAGCATGTTTGGTTAAAACAAGCAAGCATTTCTGTTGTATGTTTCTAGGAATGAGAGTTCTAGGCTAATCATAAATTAGCGTATGTCAACCTTTCAAAGCTACTGTAAATTTATCAGTGTAGATCCACCAAGAGACTGTGAGGCATTTTCAGATGCTCCACATCTGTCAAAGACGTGCACTGTCTTTTTCCCTTTTCGCTATTCTGACATGTGCAGGTGGTAACATATGACACCACGGCTTTCACTGGGTAAGGCCGGTCTCCTGCTGAGTGTGTGCCGACCGACTGACCGTCTGGAGGTGCTTTCAGTGCTCTGTCCACAGCCTGATTTCTATTGGGCCTGTGTCGAACTGCAGCGACTGCTGATGTACACTGATGACCCCTTCCCATTCTGGCGTTAGCACCGGAATGCTTGACTGTGTTTCTTGGTCATTCTTAATATTCACTGTATTTTCAAAGACCATCTTTCCATCGATCTTCTCTGTTGTATGCTGACTTCCTATTTCAATAACTTCTCTTCTGCCTTCTTGGAATTTAATGGCTTCCAACTTCTCTTATGCTCTTTGGAACAGCATCTCTCTCACTCCGTAGCCCAGGCTGGTCTGGATTGTCAGCAGCCTCCCTAAGCACCTCAGTCCTGAGAATGGTGCCTGACAACACGCCTGATGTTTGGTTTCGTCTAGTATATCATTTATAGGCTGTGTAATCTCCTTCACCAAAGACTGTTAGCTGTTTTTGTTTTTTACTTTTTTTTTTTTTTTTTTTTTTTTTTTGGTTTTTCGAGACAGGGTTTCTCTGTGTAGCTTTGCGTCTTTCCTGGAACTCACTTGGTAGCCCAGGCTGGCCTCGAACTCACAGAGATCCGCCTGGCTGTGCCTCCCGAGTGCTGGGATTAAAGGCGTGCGCCGCCGCCACCACCACCCGGCTTTTGTTTTTTACTTTTTTGAGACAGGGTTTCTCTATGCAACAGCCCTAGCTGGTGGATTTTATATGTAGTTCAAAACATTTATCACTTTTTCTGGAATTTCCTTTTTAACTTATTCAGAAGTATAATACTCAGTTTTTAATATACAGGCATTTGAGTTATATTTTTTATTAATTTTGCTGTGGGCAGAGGATATTTGTTTTCAATCACTTGAAAATCGTACCTGAGCAGACAGTTTGGTAACTGTCATGTGTGTTTGAAATCAATGTGGTTCTTGCATATGTTGAGTACAGTATTTAGTGAGTATCGGTGTCAAGTACAGTATTTTAATGAACGGAATATTTAGGTTCATTGACACTATTTTTTTCTCCTTGTTTTTATTTGTGCTTTTTCTTTTTTACTTAATTCTACTAAACAATGGAATTACATTTTTCTATGTATGTATGGAATACGTGTGTCCTTGTATGTGGGTCAGAGAGCAACGTGCAGGAGTCCTTCCTCCCTTCCGCTCTGTGGGTCCTGGATTGCACTGGGTCGTCAGGCTTGGAGGAAAGTGCCTTTATGGAACCATCTCACCTTCTGTCAGGTAAGGAGCCACCATCCTTCATCTTTTTAATGGTTATTATACAGCTGCACTGCCCGTTTACTACTATGAATGAAGATGCTGCTGCTGCTTGAACCTCACGACACCCTCTACGACAGGTGTAAACACTGCTCTCTCCATTTTATACGCGACAGCGCGATGCACGCTGCAGTTAAAGGGAGCACCATAGGCGTTACACTTACATGATATTTTCCATGGATTTGGGTTTAATAAAAATAGATATTGGGTAAAGTTGAGCAATCTGCAATCTCTTTATGGCATTTCCGGACACATCAAGGATACAATGTTTGCCCTAAAATAGAGACAATAAGGAAGAAAATTAAGTAAGTGGACCAAATCTTTTCAATTACATTGTAAGTGTCCCCCACAACTCACCATCTGAATTATGCTTCATTTAGATCCTTTTTATCAAGTAAAATTGACATTTATCAGTAAATTTTAAAAGGAAAATTAAATGAAGAAAACAATGATTATGAATAATTACTTTCCCATTCTCAAAGCCATTTCAAAGAATTAAAATGCAGTTCTCACATCCCTCGTTTTTATAAAGCAGTAACCACTCAATGGGTGGAGAGAGAGCTTGGCGCTAAGTGTACGATCTTCCTGCAGAGGATCTGCGTTTAGTTCATGGCACCCATGTTGGGCAACCTACAGCCACCGGCCAAATTCCAGCTTCAGGGGATCCAAGACCCTCTTCTGGCCACAACTGGAACCTGTGTGTACTCACGTGTACACACACACACACATACACACACACACACACACGTTAAAATATACAATTAATTCCAAAGGTCATTAATGAACTTCATTTTATAAAATGGCATGACCAACAGAAGGTGAAAAAAAATCCTAGAATTCACACTCTTTCAAACCTGTAAATCCTCACTACCACTATTCTTTAAAAATTATTTGTGTTATGTCCACGTCTGTATGTGCTCAAGGAGACCAGAGGAGAACAATGGATGCCCTAGAGCTGGAGGGATAATAGGCAGTTGAGAGCTACCTATGTGAGTGCCAGGAACTGGTTCTCTGTGAGAGCAGTACACACGCTTAACCACTGAGCTACCTCTCTAGCCCCTCACTACCATTAGTCTGTTCGTTCAATCCTCATTTTATTGGGGACTAGAAAATACCATAAATTGCCATTTGGCAAACCCAATTCTGGGTTTATGTAACTTTTCCGACAAGTTCACTGACACAAAAGGTCATTTATATTTTTATTATAGATGAGTATTTCTAGTTACATAGGAAATGAAAATTAAATAATTTTTGTGATATTTAAAATTAGGTCCTCAATCTCATAAAGTACCTTATAATTTAAAGGTTAGAGTTCCTGTTAAGAAATAATATTTAATTTAATATGTAAAAGACTCCAAACATACAGAACAGGAAATGATATACTCACAGCATTAAATTTTATTACTTTTATGTGTATGTGCATGTGTATAGGCCAGAAGCTGACCCGACACCACGTGTTTTCCCTAATTGTTCTCCACCTTCCGTTCTGAGACAGAGTCTCCCTAAACCTGAGGCTTGTCGCTCAGCTGGACTAGCTGCCAGTGGTTTCCGGGGAGCTTCCTGTCTTCGGTTCCCAGGGCGGGACTACAGGTGCACACAACACGCTCTGCCTCTCGTGGTACTCGAGGTCTGAAGTCAGGTATTCATGTTTATGTGGTGAGTGCTTTGCCAGCTGAGCCGTTTCTGTAGTCCGTGTTAGGTTCATGACACAATCAATGGACAAGCTCGATGGACTAGTTAGAAGTGAGGCCTAGCGGGAGGAAGGAGCTCATTGGAAGGGATTCTGCAGGGATTTGTGTATATTTCTACTCTCTCTTCCTTTTGCTTCCTCACCATGGACTGAAACCTCAGAGACATGAGCTAAAACAAATGCTTCCTCCCCCGCTTCCCTTCACTGTGACAGAAAACTAACACACTGGCTTCACTCTCTTCACATAGACATATAAATTCCAGAAATACTACCCACAGATAGTGACATCTACTATATGATCACAGTATAATTCTAGCTGGTCATCTAATGTTCCTTATTGAACAAGCAATAGAAAACTGCTGGTTGAGGTATTGGATTTACTTACAATGTCTGAGTTGCCATCGGTTGGGCACAGTCCCTCAGCACTTGCCATTCCAGATCTGGGTATTTTTTTTTTTTTTTAAGATTTATTTATTAATTTAAGAATTATGTATTTAGTGTTCTGTCTGCACACATGTCTGCAGGCCAGAACAGGGCGCCAGACCTCATTACAGATGGCTGTGAGCCACCATGTGGTTGCTGAGAATTGAACTCAGGACCTCTGGAAGAGCAGCCAGTGCTCTCAACCGCTGAGCCATCTCTCCAGCCCCCCAGATCTGGGTATTTTATTAACTGGTTTGTGTGCTGCACGCGTGTGTGAATGTGGGATGGGGAGGGCAGAGGCCAAAGTTGGGTGTTCTAGCTCCTAACCTTACTTTTTAAGGTACGCTTTCTCACTGAACCTGGGCTACACTGGCTGGCCTGTGAGCTCCAGGGACTCGTCTGTCACCACCCTGCTCACCCCCGACTTGCCTGGCTTTCACACAAATGCTGGAGAAGGGAATACAGGTCTTCCTCTAACTAACAAGCACTTCATCCAGTGAAGCATCTCTCTACCCCAATCTTGGCATTTTAGAAGAGTACGGATCATTCATTTCACAGGATATGGTTAAATTTGGCTCAGTCTGCCTCTTGACTATCAGAGGGCAAGTTATACATTTCTAGAAGGCATACCACTCTTATGAGATATCTATTTTTCTCATTTCTACTGACAATGTGATATTCAAACTTCTGTCTGCTTAGAATTTCTCCAAAATAAAATTATCTTTGTCTTTGTAACTAGTAATTTCAGGGATGACGCTTTTTCAGTATGTAAATAATCTTGTTTCTTATAAACCATCACTTACTGTGATTATTTTAAGATAAGTTTTAATCATCTCTTAATGTTCTTGCCTGAAAGAATTACTACCATGTGGTTTTCTTTCCAGAAAGACTTCCTTACTGTGTCATGCCTTGACCTTGTTAGCAGCCGACATTGCAAGCAAGTAAGCTTCTCCTCCACCTTTTCATTTATGTATTGCTCATGCCTTCACGGGATACTTAATTTTATTTAACCCTATGCTTTGTGAGCAGTTATTAATTTACTTTGACAATCAAATGCTAATTTTAAATTTCAAAATTATACAAAATGTTTACTCAAACGCCACTCCTAGCCTCGTCGATCCATCTCCTATTTTTTCTTCTTTCTTTTTTTTTAAATAAAAATGTGTAGCTAGGCTGGCCTGAACTGCCTCCACCTCCTCCAACAAATCCTACCAGTGTGCACAACTACTCTCCCTGTGCTAGTAACTAACCTCATTAGGTCCCGATTAGTCCTTCCTGTGTTTTCACACAACTGAGTAGATTCGTTTCCTTATTTCTTCTTTTCAAATATCAAATCAAGATGGGCGAGGTGGCACACACCCTTAATCCCAGCACTCAAGAGGTAGAGGCAGGAGGATCTCTGTGAGTTTGAGGCCAGTCTGGTCTACAGAGCTATCCCTAGGACAGCCAGGACTACACAAAGAAATCCTGTCTTTAAAAACCAAAACCAAACCAAACCAAACCAACAAACCAAACAAGCCCCAAAAGATAAAATATAGATCTTTCTTCATGTTGCATATCAATTCATAGATACTTCATCATTTACTAAGTGTAAAGAACTCCAGTTCGCCAACAAACCAAACATCATTTATTAAGCCCCAAAAGATAAAATATAGATCTTTCTTCATGTTGCATATCAATTCATAGATACTTCATCATTTATTAAGTGTAAAGAACTCCAGTTCATGGATATTGGTGATTTTCAATCACTTTTCAATTATCTTTGCTTACCAACATGTACTGAGTCCGGACTCATCAAATACAACTTTTTATCCACTTTCCCTATATTTTTCCCTATCTCTACTAGTTATTAGCCTACCATTGTTACTTTTTTTTTTTTTTTTTTTTTTTGAGACCAGGTACTACTTAACCACTGATGTTGGCGTGAAAGTCACCGTAGTCCAGCCCAGCTTCAAGGTTACAATTCTTCTGTGATGTTTCCTACTGACTGATTTGATAATGCCAGATTGACCTTGAATTTATTGGACAGATTGACTCAGTCATGGTATAGTACCCTTAAGATAGAGTTAGTACATCATCTTGACTTCATTATAAAAACTGTTTTAACCTAATGTCAATATATTATCAGACTATGTTAGATAATATTTTAAAATTACTTGTTGCAGGGCACCTTTAACCCCAGCACTTGGGAGGCAGAGGCAAGTGAATCTCTGCTTCTCGAGTGCTCCAAGTTCAAGGCCAATCTAGTCTACAGAGTGAGTTCCAGGACAGCCAGGGCTACACAGAAACCTTGTCTTGAAAAACAAACCAAAACAATAATAATAAAAAACAAACCAAAACAAAAAAAGCAAAACCAAGACCAAACTAAAACAAAACCCCCAAAACTTGCAGTTACACTGTTTTTGAATTTTTATGCTGTCTTTGAAGACTCTGGAGACTTTTTTGGCACCTACAATTAACATCTTAGTTTTTCTCATGGTTACTTGACTTTAGCCAGGACAAGGTCTGGCTCTAGAAGAGGCCTTAAGATTTTATTTTATTTTACAGATAGATACATGTGACCATCTTATTTTCAGATTTTTACTTAGCTACAGCAGTAACACTAACAGATAGTAAGGCCATGTCATCTATCTTCTATTTCTTCATACAAACTCCTTAGAAACCACACCAGGGTGGCTCTGGCACTTACCTTCTCCGCTACTGCTCGCACAGACTGAACGCTTGTTCCATACAGATGGTTGTTATACTGGCCAGCTTCAATGAACTTATGTTCCTGGATGTCCTTTTCCATCTGTTCCCTTGAAGTCACAAAATGATAATCTCTTCCATCCACCTCATAGTCACGCTTTGGTCTAGTTGTATCTTCAATAAAAAAGAACTTGGGGAAGTGTTTCATATTTTAAAACAGAATAAACACATCTACTTAATTCATTGCTTTTTAAAAAGTTTAACACAATACTTTTAAATCTAAAAAAGAGAAAGTAATATTGAGGATGAAGGAATAATTAATAAAACAATTAACTATAGCCCTTTACAGCAGTTACATTTATTTTTACCAAACAGTGACAGAAAGTGCTAAAACAGTTTTAATTTGGGTTACTCACGAGGGACGCAGGATCCAAATTTGTCGGGAAATTCTGAGATTAAATCATCATTTACCCTGTCTTTCATGGGTCCCAATATAATGACTGGTCGAGTATAATTAACTACAAAGATAAACACATCAAAAAGAATAAATACTTAACAAACACTAATGTGTTTTATTTCAGCAGAGAAGAAAACCATTCTGAAGAATCTCTTCTTTATTCTTTCTCTACATTATGCTGTTTTGTAAATAAATGTTATTAAAATTAAAATTACAACGTCGATCAAGTCAAATTTATCATCTTAGACCTTTCAATATATCGCTAATACCTCATTATAAACAGAAAACAAAGCATGGTGTTTTACTGGTGGTTTCTGAAGTTAAAAACTAAGAAAGCAGAGCAAAGAGGACAGGAACAAGAACAAGCGGGTGTAGAAGTGATGGACGACAGCAGTGATCTAGAAAGACGATCCAGCAGAGGACACAGTGGGCCATGCTGAAGGGAAGCTGGTGGTGAGCATCAGACTAGTGTTGTGGTTGGGGAGTTAGATCTAGTGAGGAAGATTCAACACATGGGATAAAGAGGGAGGGCCCAGAACCTGCCTGGGGGAAGGGGTAAGAAACAAGGACTTTAAAATCATCTCTGACTTTTTTAAAGTTATTTTAAGGGTAGTAATGCAATATTATACATGCTGAAAAAAAGTGGCTTAGGAATACAACACCAATAAAAACCAGCCAAAATAAAATGATTTGGTTCTAATATTCTCTGGGTTAAATAGTGCTTCTTGAAATTCATATAGCAATTTCTACATATATAGTTAAAAACAGCAAAATTCCAATACAATATTTGACTTGTGGGAGTTGTTTCTCTTTTTCCACCATGTTGCTTCTGGGACTGAACCAAGGCCATCAGGTCTGGCAGCAGGCACCCTGTCCAATTGCCTGTCTCACTGGCCCTGAATATATACTTTTTAATAAGGCTAGAAAACATTAACAAACTTCACAAACCTTCTTGTTGGTTCACGGGCTCATACGATAAAACATATTCTTCTTGACCACCTACGGAGAGTTAAAGCAAGGGTAAGGAAATCTCAAGGGAACGGATGTCAATGTCACCCTCGTCCACACAACTCACCCAGTTCCTTACACAGAAGACACCAGGACATTCTGAGAACTGACAAGGTATACAAAAAGGTACTAGAGCAGAAATTATCCAAGGCAAGATTCAGTACAAAAGGGGAAATTATTAAACCATAAAGGTAAGTTTGATAGACATGAGACAAAACATAGATGTACTATTTTTTTCCATAACTTAATGTTATTATGTGCTTCTTCTATTTATAGATCACCTTCCTTTCTAGCTGGAGGTTTAATGTACTGGAAGGCTGCCTGGCTTTGCTCATCAGTACTACAGAAAACAGGCAACAAACAAGTAACAGCCTCCCCAGACAAAAAACCAAAACCAACAAAAATCCCTTCCTATGGACTAGGGCTGGATGTGGGACTGCTTGCCTACAATCCCAGCAAGTTTGAAGTTGGCCTGGACTATGTAGTGAGTTTCTGCCTAAAAAAAAAAAAAAAATCAGAAAAACCCAATAAGCCACAGAAAATACTGTTTTTGTTCCAATTGAGTATATTTACCTAAAGCTATATTTTATTTTTAAAAACAATTATAATCTTGCTTTGATTACAAAAGCACTTCAGAAGTTAAAGCATCTGAAGTTTAAATTAAAGGAGCTTTGGAAATATAAATGAAAAAAAACAAAACAAAACAAAACTACCAACTACGCGAACACCATGAAAATAATTAAACCCTAGTTCTAAACATGTACTATAGAAAACAAACAGATTCGGTGACTGAATGAAAGCAATGAAAACTGAATCATGTATCTGGAAAATGGCCTCCTTATCAAGATTCTGTAACAACTCTACCACCTTTGTGATTGGTTTTCAGTGTGTGTAGCTGTGGGCCTTATCAATCTGTAACAGTGGCACACATATCTGTACTTGCTTTAAACTGTATGTTTAAATGTGTGTGCTTGTTTCCAATCTTATCACTGTAGTATCCCAAAACAGATACTTCATGAGCTGTTTTCTCTTCCTCTCTCTCCCTCTCTCTCAACTACTCATGTATCTAGGCATGGTGGCACACAGATCTCTATGAATTCAAGGTTAATCAGTTCTATGTAGAGAGTTCCAGGCTAACTAAAGCTACACCTAGTAAGAACCTGTCTCAAAAAAACAAAACAAAACAAAACAAAAGTTACTGATGTAAAATATGGCTCACATACTACGAAATCATGCAGTTGGATATTCCACAACTTAATTCATGCAAATGGTGAGAAAAGACAGTATATACTTTCATTACCCCTTTTTAGTCTAGAAAAACCACTCAACTACTCTACAGTGGATTCTGGTTATAAGCAAATAAAGAAAAATTTTCCCATTTGTCTTCCTCAAATTACATAGCATTATGTAGGAAAAAAATCCAACCAACAAATGAGGGTTAAAAGTATATATTGCCAACATGAATATCTGGACTGGGAACGGGATTAACCTTTTGAGCAGCCATACTCGTCTGTAATCAAGATTACTTTCATTTTAGACAGCAGTGAAAAAAGTCAGAAAAACAATTTTAATTTTAAGTTGCTACAACTGATATTCACATACTCTCCCCTCTTTCTACACCCCAATGTGTCTAAAAAAGATCCATATTTATATAGTTTAATTAACATCAAGAATATAGTATTAAACATCAAGGGAGAAAACAGTATTACTTTTTGAGCAATGGTTGCGCAGAATAAAAAGAAAATAAACTAATAATCATTTAGTATTACTAACAAATATCTTTTTAGTGCTTATGTTAAAAACAAAATTACTAAGGAAAATACAAGTTCATTCCCTATCAGATAATTACTTTTTATAAGATACGCACAAATCCATGTACTATGTATCGTATACACAATTAAGTTGGTAAATGGGTTTGCTTTCATTAAAACCTTGAAATTAACCTTTCTGTATGAGTGGCTTGAGGACCTCTTATTCAAAATGCTTGCAGCAAAAATTTTTCAGATTTATTTTTTTGCATTTAAAAATACTTACACAGGCAATCCTGGCTAAGCAGCTCTAAACTGAAAAGTCTGAAAATTAATTTGTTCTAGATCTGAAACTTTTAGAGTGTCACATTGTTGCTAAAGATGGTGAGTTTTGGGTTGGAGACACTCAAGTCTGTACTTTATTTGGCTTTTCCTAGTTTCTCAATCTTAGGTATCTGACTTGTAGTTTTATAGCTTATCCCCGAGGAAGAGCCACTTGAAGGTACTTATTACTTCTACAAAAGAACAAGTAACATGAAACACTCACGGTAACTGCTTTCACTATCGCTGGCATTAGAAGTTACGTGCTCTGATATGGAAGGAAAACGAAAAGAAAAACAAAGAAAACCCAGTGTCACAAATTTAAAAGCTGATAAAAGCAAATTATCAAAATTAGACAAGGTGATACTATAAATGTTGAGATATAAACCACACATAACCACAGAATTTTTATAAAGCATTTTAGATTTTCTATGAAAAAGTTAATTTTTCAACTAAATTAACACGAATTAGCAAGGGGAAATACCTGTAGTAAAAGAAAATGCCTTACTCTTTAAATATAGTTTATGAACAAAATTCTCAGCAAAAACCCACGTAGAACATAGAACAGACACAATGTAATCTTGAATTAGTTCATAAAATACCATATCATAAAATCCAAAAGGAGAAAATATTTGGTACCATTTAGTTTAGGAAAGACCAGTAAGGACACAAGTTCCACTTGAGCTAAGAGAGGCCGCCTCCTGATGGGACAGGTACTTCTATCATTTATAACAGGTAAGGTTTCACCAGAGCTTGTCTCCAGCAGAACCTAGGCTCCAGAGGCCACCTAAAGCTCTGTAGATGACAAACTGTCTCACAGATCACGAAGAAGGAATTTGAGAGGCCGGCACTGTCTTTTAATAGACTGGCATTCCTCAGCAACTGTGCTTTGATAACAGACTACTTTGCAAAATACGAGAACTCCCCCAATAAATATTAGTAAAAAGCCACCTAGCTTTTGCTCACAAGTGGCCCCATTTCATAACTCGGTAAGTAACAGGTGCTCATCTCTCAATAAATATCTTTATATCTTCCTTGAATAAAAGAGCAAAAATTTTATTTAGAAAAACAAAACCACAAACTTTCAAGGACAGAGGGAAACCTAAATTTCTAATGTTAGGGAAAGAACACCACCACCATCACCAACGACATTGTAAGACAAAGGAGTCTGAGGCTAAGGTCTGCTCAGGCCAATTAAGCAGCTCTCAAGAAAGGAGAAGAGTAGACCTCATGCGAGTGAAAATAAACCCATTCATTTTAGCTTGCAAAGAGAAAGACTCTCTTTAAAAAATGTGGGTGTGTCGAGGCCACAGGTCAACATGGAGTGTCTTTTTCTCTAGCTTTCCAGCTTATTTTTGAGACCGTTTTTCACTAAAGCTGGAGCTCACTGACTGGGCAGGACTGGCGGGCCAGCCGAGTCCCAGGGATTCTTCCATTTTCACTCCCAAGTGCTAAGATTATAGGCATGTGCCATTCCACCAGGCTTTTTTTTTTTTTTTTTTTTTTTTTTTAAACATCAGGTCCTCATGCTTCTATGACAAACTCTGCTGACTGAGCTACCTCCCCAGTCTTAAGGTACATACCTTTCTTAATCACAACTTATTTTAAATAAAGGACTTAAAATTTTAAAAATAGAATTGGGGAGGGGGAGTCACTGGTAAGCTGCCCACCAAATAACCCCTCTGCCCCATGCTCAAGGAAGCCCCATGCTCAGTGCACTGAAAAGGGGAGCAAAGACGTCAAAGTAAGAGACTCGTGGGAAGAAGGGTTCAGCGGGGCCAGAGAGCATGATGGGGTGAAAATAACTAAAACCTACACATGTAAGACACTACCAGGGAGGAAAACAGTAAAAATTGTCAAGTTTTTCTTCTGTAAGCTAAGAAATTTCAATAAAATAATTGCACCTAGAAATTAGAAGTAGAATTAATACATGACAAGCACACATTAAAAACAGTATTTTTAAGTGTATATTAAATTTTGTCTCTTTCCATGTTCATGTGTACACATGCATGCTTTACACGTGCATGTGGCTGTGAATACATGAGGAGGCCTGACGGAGAGGCTGCCAATCATCCTCTGCAGCTCCTCCACCTTCCTCACTGAGGCTGGTCTCTCCATCAAACCTAGAGCTCACTGATAATACTGCTAGTCTCTCTCACCTGCTAGTCTGCTTGCCTTTGCCTTCAGAGGCCGGAATTACAGGCAGGCTACCATACCCATTCAACATTTACATGGTCCTGGGGATTTGAACTCTACTCCTTATAGCTATAGGGGCAACTGTTCTAACCACTGCGGTATCTTTTTAGCACTTCCCTCCCCCACTTCTTTTTCACGTTACTACACAGACTTCAATACAATCATTGAGATTCTTGAATAATATTCAATTTGATTTATAATTTATAATTTATCTGTTAAACATTTCAGTTTGCTTTAAACTGTTTTTTAAACAACATTAATAATTCTAAATGTTTTAGCTTATATCACTTTTTACCTATCCTATTTCTTTAAAATTTGTTGTAAGTAGAAATTAAAAATAAACCCTCTGAAGCCTGTATTAGGCCTGGCATTACAATCTTTAGTCTCTAAGTTGTAAAAGAAAGAAAAAGTTATCTGCAGGACGAGAGTAAGTGGGTATGTAAGAGACAAAACTGATTAATGCTGAGCTGGAATTTATGAAGCAGGGTTAAAAGAACACAGAGTTTACATTTACTAGTCTACCCTTCAATCTGACATACTATAGAATAAAAAGTTATTCTTTGTTTTTTATTCACCCCCCCACCTCGAACTCTTCAAAACTCCCAAAAGGCACACTATACTAAACTTCGCAGGTTTCTGCATTTTCTGTACTTAGTTCCTTTATAATAAAACGTTGCTGTTCTGAGCTAGGCTTTAGACTAGGGCAATCACTGGCACTGCTTGAGAATTACACGAAAGGTAAAGCGCCCCTTCTCTAAAAATCCTGTTGGCGGTGAGGCTGTAGCTTAGTGGTACAGCACTTGCTGAGCATGCAGGATGAAGCACATGGGCCCAAGCCCTAGCTCTGCCAAAATAAAAACAAAACAAAAACTTGAACATAATTTGCAAAAGAAAGTTGGAGAGCTAACATACAGCTGAAAAGGTGTTTAAGTTTACTTACAGCACAACCACAGAACCAGACGCGTCAAGCAGAGACAAGGATATAAAGCAGCCAGAATCATCTACTGGGGTTAGGATTGGGGGAGAAAGAGTCTGGACAACTATTTGCCAGCACAGTCATCGCGAAATATCTACCAAAGGTTGGTTCCAGGACTCCAGAGGTAATACAATGTGAGGATGTGAATGTCCCTTTCATAAAACTTGTAGGACTTGTATGTATTCCCCACTTCCTCCTTTCCTTCTAGACAGAGCCCCATGTAATCCAGGCTGTCCTAGAACAGGCAGCTCAGTCCGTCCTTGAACTCCTTCTCACAGGCCTCTAACCTCCCAAATGTTGGGACCACAGGCACAGAGTGACACAGTCGTCTTCCATATACTTTAACCCATTTTTGATTCTGTAACTACAATACAGTGTAAATAATGGCTAAATTGTTCAGAGAATGAGAAGGAAATTAAAGCCAATTCAGTAGACATTACTGGAGGCTGGGAAGTGAATAACAGTACATAAGAGCGCACAGAAAGACTGCGGGTTTGTGAAATGCAGGAAGCTGCAGGAGGAGGATGCCAACACATCAGTTCAGCTCAGTTAGTGTAGTGCTTTGAGGATGTGACAAATTCAAGTTTTTTTTTTTTTTTTTGGTTTTTCGAGACAGGGTTTCTCTGTGTAGCTTTGCGCCTCTCCTGGAACTCACTTGGTAGCCCAGGCTGGCCTCGAACTCACAGAGATCCGCCTGGCTCTGCCTCCTGAGTGCTGGGATTAAAGGCGTGCGCCACCACCGCCCGGCCAAATTCAAGTTTTATGCTTTGCAGATATCTGGACTTTTCTCCCAAGTAATTTCTGTTGTGGAATATTACTTTAACTATGTAAAGATGTGTTACATTTGTTTAATGATGTGAACATGTGCTACATTTGTTTAACGATGTAAAGATGTGTTGCTCTGCCTACCTAAGACACCTGATTGGTCTAATAAAAAGCTGAATGGCCAACAGTTGGCAGGAGGGATAGGCGGGGCTGATGGGCGGAGAGAATAAGGAGGAGGAGCAGGGGAGAGAGGGAGAGGCCTCTGGGCCAGCCATCCAGGCGGCCAGACTCGGAGCAGGACATGTAGGATGAAAAAAAGATAAAAAGCCCTGAGGCAAAATGTAGGCGAAGAGAAACAGGTTAAATTAAGTTATAAGAGCTAGTAAGAAAGGAGCCTAAGCTAAGGCCGAGCATTCATAACTAATAAGTCTCTGTGTCTTTATTTGGGAGCTGGTTGGCAGCCCAATAAAAGCCTGGTAAATTGGTGCCAAGATGCTATTTTACCTTCATCACAGTGGCTGCTCTTTTAATTACTAGCAACTTGGCTGCTCAGGCCATAACCTGCGGGGAATTCTGTTCCCCCAGACAATGGCTCTGTTGCTGCCAATAAACACAGTGCTAACTAAATCTCTATAGTTCTAATAAAACTTGAGATTCAAAGGCTAGGGAGAAAACCTGTGAGCTCAGAGAGTAGCAAATGCCTAACTTTCTCTCTCAGCTGGCATCCCCGGAAGCCACTCCCTTCTACACTGCCCCAAATAAAAAACCCACACTAAGGTCCTACCTGCTACTTCCTGTCACCTAGTTGTTAACCCCGACTCTCTGAGTCTAGGTTATTTTTATTTAATCAACACAAATGGAACACATCTTTACATAGTTAAATAAATGCAGCATAGACAAATATAACTCATCTTTGCCTAAACAAATATTCCACAGCAATTTTCAACCTGCAGTTTGATTAATTCTTAGATAAGGAAACTATGCATATAGAGTCAATTTTGTAAAGCTAAACAAATATATATGTACAACCTAAAAATTTCTCCCTCTCCTATGTATTTCCCCAAAAGAAAGGCATATATCTGAATCTCAAAAGACATGCACAAGAATATTATTTCTGACTGCATATCTAAGGTACGTAGCTTCAGTTTTTTTGTTTGCGCTGTGAACATTTTCCATGTCATCTGTATGTAGATCAGGCTAATCTCAGGCTGTGATGCTCTTGCTGTGTCTTCCCAGGACCAGATTACAGGCATGAGTGACCTGGTTCTTAATATGATTTTCAACTGTCATATAATACTATAAATACAGATAAGTCATATTTCATTAGCCATTTCCAAATTAGACACAGGATGGCTTCAATCTTTTTTATTCTTTTTGCTGTAACTTCTAAATAATGATAAAATTTATCTTCATCTCCAATTATATCCTGAGGATAATCTCCCTGAAAAGGATTTAATGAACTAAAAGAAAATTTTTGAGAAAGGCTGTATTAATTTACACTTTTAATTACAGTGCTTTAAAAAGCTACTCTATAGAACTATCTCCATCATGGAATGCATCTCTAGGCAATGGGTAGAAGGCATTATTTTGTATATGCTGACTACTGGGAAAATACACACGATTGTTCTATCTGCTTATCTTCTGAGCTCTGCTGTGCTAGGGGCTGTACCTGTGGCGTCTCTCAGAGGTCCATAAATGAAGGACTTGGTCCCCAGCTTGACACGAGCAGAAGGTGTAGACACTTAAAGCTGCAGCTTAGAGTGCAGCTTTCGGTTACTGAGGGTGTAATCTCCAAGAGGGCAGGCAGTAGGACACTAGCCTTTTCAGGCTTTTTCTGTACTTTCTGGAACCATGAGGTGAACAGCTTACTCCACCACACACATTCTGCAATGATGTGCTATCTTGCCACATGCCTCCCAAACAGCAGGGCCAAGCAATCATGGACTGCAACTTCCAAAATGAGTCAAATGAACGTCTGTCTTTATAAGCTGATTCTCTTAGGTTTTGCTAGTAAAAGAAAGCCAACACACTTACCTCATTCCTTGTCTAGTTTTCTAGTGGATAGACTGTTTCTTATTGATTCATAAAAAAACCTGTACTTGATGCAAATATATTCTTCAGGTCTAAAAATGCTTGTGGGGTACCTGTCTAGGAAATTTGAGGCCTCAGGTTGAGCCTCTTTAATAATACAGGAAGAAAAAACTCCCTAAGCTTTCTCTCCTCCTCTCCCCTCCTCTGCTTTCCTCTCTCCTCTGCCTCTTCTATTTCTAACACGTTTTACCTGTCTTCTCAAACATTTCCTTTCTGACAGGGTATGTACTATTATTCTCTCCAAATGTTACATTGTCAATTCCAAGCAATACTACTTGACATATTATTTGTAATCAAAGTAAAAGTTAGCCTGGCTTTGGCCCTTGAGAGCTGTGCATAACTGCTCACATCAGCTTTTAGAACAAGAAGAAAGCAGACAGACACAAGAAACCTATGTGGCTAGCCGAGGTGCTTTATAAAATTGAAAACTGTAAAGATAGAAAGGAAATAGAAAATGAGAGCATCTTAGACAGGCGAATTCTTTTCTGAAACTGTGTGTTATGATTTCACTTCAGAGTACCCCATCTACTGCCCATTGAGTTATATCTCCTTTAGTCTTATTTAGTGAGTTTTGAACTTTAGCATACAGGTTAATGAAGCCATAAGTAATACCATGATGTACCCTTCTTCCAGTATTTTCTCTAGAATGAGCAGCCTGTATGCTTTATGTGTTTGTTTTACATGATAACCTCCTTCAAACCCAGTTTTAGAATTCTACTGGTATTTTTCTGTCTCCTTCCAATATTTTCTGAATAAAACCTTGACCTTTAGGTTGCCAAGTTAATAAATTCTTTCAATTCCTATGAAATGAAGCAGATACTTATAATAAAATGAATTATAATACACTATGTAGAAAATCAAATCTTTCTCTAAATGACATTGCCTGATAATCAGTTGTTTTTCATAATTTTTTTCTTAAGGAAGTTTCAATTCCCAATTAGAGAGAGAGACATAGGGTGAGGAGTAAGCATACATAACAGCGTAAGATGCAGGAGCCATAATCATCTATAGCAGCATCAGTGGGAGCCCAGTTCCCACTTAGTTCTTTTTAATTAGTGTTTTCATAGGCCTCTGGTACTTTAAGGAGATTAACAAATTCCAAGTTGATGCATATAACCTCTAAAATATACAAACCACAAAATAAATCCCAGAGCATCTGGGGAGACATTTTCCAGTTACTGAAGGCTTTCATTGACAATTTCCCTAAAATGTAAAGAAGCTGCCACTAGTGATAGGAAATCTGTGGTGCCACCAAATTATATTTTTAATTAAAACTTTTTCATACAATATATTTTGATCATGTTTCCCCCCTACCTTAACTCCTCTCAGATCCTCTCCATCTCCCTACTCACCCAACTAAGAAAACATAAGCAAACATAAAAAAGAGCACAGCATGTCTAGAGCAAAGCGTGCCTAGAATTAAGCATGCCTAGCAGAAGTACTTTATATATAAAGTACACTCTCTTCTGCCTAATGCAAACCTAAGTCATTAAGATCGAAGTAAAAGTAAATCATGAAAATGTAAAAATCCATCATTAAAACTGTAACATTTAATATTATTTAATGATGTAGTTCTTGGAAGGCTAACTAGTTAGTTATCAATAAAACTCTACAAGTTTTCAAAATGCCTAATAATTCTAATGAAATGAACAATTTAACAAAACAATTAGCTTGAATGATTATTTCTATGAGTTATGATCACCTAAATTTTAACTTAGTAATATTAGGTGACTTTTCATATTTCAGTGATTTGAAAATAGTCAATTTAAAACAGTAACTCACTCTGTAGACCAGTGATGTAATTACACTCAATGTTAGTGATGGGATCACACTCAATGTCAGTGATGGGATCACACTCAATGTCAGTGATGGGATCACACTCAATGTTAGTGATGGGATTACAGGCATCTATCACATGCTTGGCTCTTATTCAAATATTTATTAGATTCCTTCTACTTATCAGATCTGCTATATCTTTATATAACTAATTAGTTAGTAGACAGAAGGTTAAGAGCAGCAGCAATAACAACAACAAGAGCACATCAAAGTAAATAACCTGGTTAAGAGAGGAGCACTAATTATAGGATACTCTCTATCGCTTCTTATGGTCTTAAGAGGCTACTTAACTTTCCCCTAGACTGCTGCTTGAACTTGACGTCTATCTTATCCTTTCACATTAAAGCAAGGGGTTTCTAACATATAACTGTAGTGATTTAAACTTGTTTTAAAAAGGGAGACACAAAACTCCAAAGGTATACATGTCAATGTTCTATTAATATGGGCAGGTGGTATCATTTAAAAAAACCTTAAAAAAGTCTATAATTAAAACCTTTCTAGCAAAAGTAACTACTAGAAAAATTATGAAACTCAAAATGTAACTGAGTTTTTCAAGTGGTATCTTAAAAAGGAACACAAGAAACAACAAAAATTGTATTACAGAAATAAAAATCCCAAGCATGTTACAAACATGGAAAGTCTAAAAGCCACCTAAAGCACATACCTCCTCATGCCAGAAAGGCACTATTGTGAATCTCAAAATGTACCCGAATAAGGTAGGAGGTTAAAAAATGACTTGGGAGTGTTTCGATCACTTACTCAGGCCTTTTGATCCCATGTCGTCAGGGATCTCCTGTAGAGAGTAGTCCCCAGAGAGCAAGCAGTAAAAAGACAATCAAAGAGAACAGTCGTCAGTGATGCACAGAACTGGTGCTACAGTAAGAGACAGTTCCAAGACCATCACAGGCACACACATCTCAAGAAGACTGCCGGTATGTTTTTCAAAATTTTCGAATGAGCTACCAACTAAATGTTACTTACAAAAGGAATGAAAATTGGAGCTTGACTCCAGATGATCTAGTATCAGAAACTGGTAGTACTATACCTACATTTTTTTCCCCTCAGAAATACTCTTTGAATGTGTGTCAAGTGCTTTTTATATGAACCCTTACTTCAAAGAATTATATTTATTTTTATATGTAAGTTATAAACAGATAACTTAAAATACTGTTCAACAATTCCTGGGTGCCAGAAAAGTTAAGACTGGCATACAGATTAATTTATGTGTATTAAATTTCTCCTGGTTAAGACAATCAGTCACCTGTTGCAGCTCTTGAAACTGTCTCCATGGTAACAACCAACTGCAGGGCAGTAGGTCCCTCTACATTCTATTTTCAGTTGACCAATGGATCCACATACTTACGGTCAGCATCACTGGTTTCCTGCTCACTCTGGTCCTTGTTCTTGTAGAAGGGAAATTTTCGGGAAAAGAGGTTCTTTTTACGCTTGTCATTGAATGACTGCTGAAGAAGAGAAGGAGGGCAAAACAAAGGGGGTGTCTACTTCTGTGTGCACAAAGGCCCAGCCTAGCAGCTATGGAAGCTGACTCCTGTGACCACAGTGTGCAGTCTGCATCAATTTTACACTGATCACATAAAAAATGAATTTCTGATTTTGTATAAGGTCCTATAATTCTAATATTTCATAAGTGGTAAATATTAGAATTTTAGAGCACATTCAGTTTTATCTTAAATAATAAATGCTACTTGACAAAAGAGTTAATCAGATTACTATTATAGTATAAACCAAGCTAATATTTATTTATATGAATATGTATTTTTCTAGGAAAATTCTCAGGTAGAGTAATAGATATGTGATACCAAGTTATTTTTAATATTATATTGCTGCTCAATTATCTGTCACGTATTAAGTAGTAATCTTGATTTTTTTTTTTTTTTCCGAGACAGGGTTTCTCTGTAGTTTTGCGCCTTTCTTGGAACTCACTTTGTAGACCAGGCTGGCCTCGAACTCACAGAGATCCTCCTGCCTCTGCCTCCCGAGTGCTGGGATTAAAGGCGTGCGCCACCACCGCCCGGCTGCAATCTTGATTTTACTTTGTCCTAATTATGCTTTTTCTTTTGTGCCTTTACTTGTGGTTACAATGAATTAACACAATAGCCACTATAAACAAAGCGAACCTAAAAAATTAAGAGGATGTTCCTAACAAAAAAAAAAAACCCCTTCTTTTAGAAGAGAAAAAGGTAAGTAAGTGTGAACTCTGACATACGAATGGGGAGAACATTTGTGCAGTTACTAATTGAGACTGTGAAGCATGAAGGGGGTTTGTTAAAGAGGAAGCGCTCCCTGTGCAAGTCTTCTGTTACGGGCTTTCTAAGTCACTACCTACCAGTGACATTACATGAATTATCTGGCCTGAGGATGATATGAAGAATTTTTTTGGGGGGGATGGTGGAGGTAGGTAGTGCTAGGGATTGAATCCAGGGCCTTCTTATACATGCTAGGCAAGTGTTTTATCACTAAGCTACACCACTAGCCCAAAGAGAGAAATCTTGTTTTGATTTTCCAAGTTCATCTGTGTCATAAAATGCTACATGCAGCAGCCTTGTACCATCAGCAACCTACTTCCCAGGGCTTCAGTTACCCGTGGTCAACTTGGTTTGAAAATATTAAGTGAACTATTTCAGAAATGAACAATCCCCAAGTTTTAAACTGCATCTTGATATGAGTATCATGATGAAATCTTACGCTATCCTGCTCCAACCTACCCTGGATGTGAATTGTCACGTCATTCTGTCCAGTGCATCTACTGTATACTCGACTGACTCATGAGTGATTTGGTAGCCATCTTTGCTATCAGATTGACTTCTTGAAATCAATGTGTTTATATTCAAGTAAACATCATTTTACTTAATGTATCAAGACACAAGAGTAGCAATAATGGCAATTCTATTCTATTGCTATAATTATTCTGTTATTATTAATCTATATTGTGCCTAACTTATAAATGATACTCATCATAGATATGAATCTACAAGAGAAACCCAGTATATATGGGTTTTGGTTCCATCTATGGCTTCAGGAAACCACTGGAGTCTGGAAATGCATCTTTACACGTGGGGCCATTACTGCACACTCTTCTGCAGCAGCAGCATATTGACAGCAATCTGTACTGCACGTCCTTGTTTATGAACAGGTGGTACGAGCAACTAAGGAAGGAACCTTCAGCTCCACTTCTACAGCTCAAGGTTTACTTTGAAAAGACTCATTATAAATTAATTAGATAAGTAAATTTATAAACCAAGGAAATTATCTTCAAAGTGGAAGGTTCTGAGGAACTAGAACGAAGAGAGCTCTTAGCAGAGGCTGAAACGCTGTTGCTGAGGAGCAGAGTTTTGGGAGATCTGGGTTGACAGCTATTTCATAAACCGTCAAGTAGCATTATGTGATTAAAAATGGCCATCTTTTTTGTATAATAATCACTGACGAATTTATGGTTTTTGAAAAAAATGATGATAAAAAAGGTTATTTACCCTGTTTACTGCATATATAATGGTCAGAGTCAGTTTCCTAGCACACAACCAAAAGAAACATGAAGTTCAAAAATGTTTTGATTTTTGTTATCTTTGCAGTTAGCCAAAATGAGATATCACAAGGACATCATAATACAGGACAGGAAGAAATGTGTGTTAGTTAAGAAATGTGTTAATTATATTAATTTAATATCATCCAGGTGAATTTATTAAAAGTGCAAATAAAAGAAGCATAAGCAAACAAGTAAAAAAAAGTTTATGGAAAATACAAAACTGAAGAGACATGTTACCTTCAGTTTTTCTGTATTTTCAATGAAAATTATGTGTAATTTCTTAATATCATTAATGTCATGTTGTAAGAGTGTAGTAAACATAATAAATGATACAATGCCACAAACTCCTGATACATATATTAAACATAGATACATAATTTCCGTATGTAGCATTTCAAAAATAGCTAAATGAGTGTTAAAAATGTTAATGAGAAACTGAAATGTTAAAGGTTTGCAATAAAAAAGTTTGCAGCTCACTATGTAAGGAAGGAAAAGGAGGAATAGAAAACACTATAGGAAGAAATGCAGTTCTGCATCAATGGCAAGCGTATTTTTACCCCACTCAGTACCATGCATACTTCTGATGCTGTGTTAGAACACAGTGACTGTGTACAAAGTTGGTTACAGTCAACAAACAAGACTAAGATTTAAATGTCGTTAATTAAGTTAACTTTTTACAGAACAAAAGGAAAGTTAAAACATGCAACCTCTTTTTCAACTCATTGATGGTTCACTGTACTGACTTATTTAAATACACACATAAAACAAGTACAGAAAACACTGAGTTATTTAATATCCTGAGTATTTACTTGGAATCTTTCTTCTAATAAAATTTTCTAACTTACATATTACTTCGGGTTATAAGATGTAATTGTGCTTTTGTATGGAGCTACAAGTTAATTTTACAGAAATTTTCACTTTCAAAAATTAAATTATGTAATTTATTCAGATTTAATTTCTTTACAATATTGACGTTTTAAGCATTGGGTGCTTCGTGAGATGTGATGTATAGTGATGAAGGTGTACAGAGAGTAAATGTATTTGCTGACTTAGCTTTTACATTTATTTCAAGTATAATGAAAAGCTTATAAAATTTTGCTTCAGATTAAAGAAACTGAAGACACAAATATTATGAAAAGCATTTCAGTACAGCATGTGTAAAAGTTCTTTCTTCGGCTTACTTAGGGACATTTCACTGCAGGGGGTTATGGGTAATGAGGAATTGCATACACAGGATAACTGAAACCTGTACTATCTTCCTCATCTATCAGCATCTTATATTTTCACATTCAGCAGACTTAAAGTAAAAATACGCAAGAAACTTGATATATTTTCACCATCTATACAACTTCTTTTGACTTTCTTTATTCCCTCCAAATACAGCTTCGTGTTAATCCTAGAATCAAAAACCATGGATTCTAGTAAGAAATTAATTATGGGATGAAGGGGATACAGAACCAAGAACATGACTTCACCTGTAACTTGTGAACTTACACTGTGACTTAGTTCAATGAAACACCCACCCATATACCCTTTAAAGACAAGGTTTTACTATGTATCAATGGATGGCTTGAAATTCACTATGTAGAGCAGGCTGCCTCAATCTCACAGAAATCGCCTGCCTCTGCCTCCTGACTGTTGGGATTAAGGTGTACGCCAATATGCTCAGCAGATAATAATATTTAATGGGAGTTAATAGTATAGAAGAATCACTAAACTAGCTGTTCTATAATACCTGAAACACAAGTATGTCTGTTGCTTATCTGCTTCTCTCTACACCTTGGTATTAGAAGTGCATATCATCAACTCAACTAAAAAAGTATCATCAAACAACTGAGTAACAGCTGAGTCCATATCATTTATAAAAATAATACTGATCAAAAGTTACCAGGAGTCTATCAAATGGCGTAACTGGAAAAGGTGTGCAGAATAGCTACTTTATAATTAATGACTACGACTATTCTAATCTGTGCCAAGAGCACAGTAATTCATACAGTAAGTCTTCTCATTGTAACAACAGAGCTGAAATAAAAATTATGGAAAGGCCTACTGTCTTAAGAATTTCCAGAAGTAAGAGATTTCACAGACTCACCCCTTTGTCTCCTCTTGCTTTAGAATTGAACTTGACTGTCTTTAACCGGGCTCGTTCTTTCTTCTCCACTCTGTCAAAGCACACAAGGTCACTGACTTTGTTGCTGGAGACCGAATCCTAAGCCTTACACGTCTCAGACATATTTTCTAGCACCGACCCTTGATTCCTAGGTTTTTTCCCGTTTTTAAGTTGGACTTTCACTATGTTATTCAAGCTTGATGTGAATTCAGAACCTTGTCTTACCTTCCGAGTAGCTGGGGTTTATAGTCTACATTACTATTCCTGGTTAGAGTAGTTTTCTCTTAAAAAAATGTGTGTGTGTACATGTTTGTGAGTGTACATGCATGAACACATGTATGCATGGAACTCAAAGGTCACCATTAGAGATCTTCCTTACATGCTACCATTAAAAATATCTAGTTGTATGTATGTATGCATAGATATATGTATGTATGTATGCCTGTATATGAGAATGAGCAAATGTGTGGGTATTCAGGAAAGACAGAAGAGCTGGATCCTCAAACTTAGGTCATAAGCATACAATATGATTTGGATGTTGGGAACCAAACTTGGGTTCTCTGCAAGAGGCAATACATGCTTTTTAACTCAGTGGGCCATCTTTTCAGCCCCCTACCTACTTTTTTGAGGCAGGGTTTCTCATTGAACCTACAGTTCACCAATTAGGGTAGACTGGCTTGCTGGCACACTCCAGGATTGTCCTGTCTTTGTCTCCTCCAGCGTTGGAATTCCTGGTGTGCACCATCCTGCACCTGACATTTTGTGTGGGTGTCAGGATTAACTCAGGTCCTGACACTTGTGTGACATTTTACAGACCAAGCCATCTCACCAGTCCCCAGATGTTATTTAAGTCCAATACAATTAAGAGCCTTGCTTGACATCACCTATAATCTAAAATTCATTAGACTTGCTGATAAATGACACATCGTTTTACTATGAAGTCAGAAACCTCTTATGAAGTACCAAACTACAGCATAACGTGTACACTCCCATGCACTCAGTTCATAACTACACTGAACACACTGCCAGACTTCAGTCATTTTCCCAGGTCTCCTTCTTTCCCCTTTAAATACTAGCTTAGCATAGCACATACATAATGAAAATAAAGCTCGAGAGAAAGCAAATGTAGCAAAATTAAAAAATTTGGACACACACTGTATTATTCTTGAAAAATTCTGTACTGTTCTGAAGCTCTGAAATGTAAAATACATATAGAAAAAATTTAAGCTTAATTCCAATAATATATATGTAATAGGTACAATTGTATCTTGTAATATCCAAGTCAGAGCTGAAAAGTATTTTGGAAGGAGAACAGGTAACCTTCATTACGTCTTTGAGGGTGAAAGGTATACTCTGGGAACAGGTTAAGAGGTGCCAGAAGGGCTTTAAAAATATTGAATTTGAACCTTGTTAAAGGAGCATCTATACTGTGCATGGAGGCTCATTGTGAGCTTGAGGTCAGACTGTGTTCCACAGTGAGTTCCAGCCAGGATGGGCTAGTGTCCTGACAAAAGGGTCACCTATTCAAACATGCAAGGAAATGAAACCAAATCTCATTTAGATAGTGACATCAATATCAATCACACAAATTTGGTTTCATGTATATTAAACTTTAGTTTTCAGCTTTTAATTATGATAGCATACTTCAGGAAAACCTAACAGAACAGCCTATGAAAACTATCTAGTTAATGTCTGATTGTGAGTACAAGAGGACCTTAGTACTCACAGATGAAAGCCTCATGTTCTTTAGTACTCCAGAAGAATACTTGGAGTATTTAGTGTACCACTAAACTAGAATTTATTGACTAAACATTTACCATTCAAAAATGGACTTTTCTAACTACTGTTTGGTTTAGTAAATATATTTATTTATATTTTATTATATTAGTATTTATAAATGCTATTCCTTAAATAAAAAGAACTTGAGAACTGTAACTTCATGGTATTAGATTTCTGGATAGAAGATAGTCCTATTTAAGAAAATAAAATTTAAAAACATTCAAGAAAAAATGAAGGTGCCTGTGTCTCCTGAAGCCTGTGGTTGTGAACTGTGTCCAAAGCTGTCAAGGGCACTGTGGAGGAACGCCATGCCTTTCTTTGATATGCAGAAATGGCTGGGGCATTATAAGGCCTAGATTGCTGCCCAACAATCCAAAGTGCTGAACAACCTTTCAAGATCCCCTCTTGGTGCCATGCTTTAGAAAAAGAACAGAATTGGTGCTATCTGGGCTCAAATATAGTGCAATGTAAATACAGAAGATTTTAGGGGCTGGAGAGACGGCTCAATAGTTAAGAGCACTGGCTGCTCTTCCAGAGGACCCAGGTTCTATTCTCAGCATCCACAGGGCAGCTCACAACTGTCTGTAACTGCTGTTCCAGGGGATCTGACATCCTCAAACAGACATACATGCAGGCAAACACCAATGCACATAAAATAAAAATAAATTATTAAAAAATATGTAAGATTTTGATGAATATTTCTTTGGAACAATATAATCAAAGGTATGGGTGACATCAGCAGGAAAGGCTAATTAAAGTGGGGAAGTAACCCCACCTCACCACTTGGGCAAGGGGAAACCCAGGCCCCGAGCAGAGCACCTGGAGGCTGCTTCTTATGATCTGTTTTCCACTGGGAAGAATGTTTAGTGAAAGCTTCTTCAAAGTGTGTAAAAACAAAGAACTACTTCATCTTAAAAAAACAAAAACAAAAACAATAAGGCCAATTTGTTGTGCCTTCCTACTGTATCTCATGGTAGAAAAAAGGATCTCCTAACTCTACTTATGAACTAGGGATGAGTGGACACCTCAGGTGAACCTGTGTTCCTTCCTTCTTTCCACCCAAGTCAGTACGCTTCTCAGCGGGTGAGGGCACATGTGAAGCATTGGTAGGTTACGAGACTCCAGAGGATAGGACAGTTTTTAGGAGCTGCAACTTTGATATTTAAGATGTGAGGTTTCTATCGAATCAAGAAGGCAGAGAAGCATTTCTAACTGAAACACACTATATTCTAATCTAGGAAAGAGGAATGCCAAAGGCTGCACTCCTAAAATAAGATTTCCATCAAACATACGATTATACAACAGATGGATCTTGCTAAGCATATAGATCTAGCTAACAACAGTTATACCCCCCCCCCCCCAATCAGTAATTATCTTGGCAATACTTTAATATTGCTCTTGGGCTTAAGGTGTAGTTCAGTGGAAGAATGCTTGTGTAGTATGCACAAAGCCTGGGGGTGGGAGTGGGGCTGCAAATAAAATATAGTAGTACTGTTTGTGCTATATATGAGAAACAGACATGATACGGTGTATTTTTCAATTAAAAGAAGTATAAATCCAATTTGTCAATAAACTTCATCCTAAATGAATTAATTAACTATAATAAGCATTAATACCAGATTTGCTGGCTATCTTGAAGTAAGTCTAGATAACCGAAATAAAAGGGAATGAAGCATCTGACAAGTTCTTTCTTCTTTTGTGGTACTAGGGATTGAACTCAGGCCTCATGCATGCTAGGTAATCAAACCTGGATCCCCTGGAAGAGCAATCAGTACTCTTAACTGCTGAACCATCTCTTCAGTCCCCTCAAAGATAATCTGGTGACAGAATATTTTGTTTGTTTGAGACAGAGTCTCACTATTTAACCTTGACTGTCCTTGACTGAGATCTGCCTGCCTCTGCCTCTGAGTGTTGGGATTAAAAGTGTGTGCTACCTCAGCAGGACCCCCACTGGTTACATTTAAATGTGATAGATTTAAAGAGTTATGAATCACACCATGAAAAACAAAGCATACATAAAATCACTATTTAAGGAAAGATATTTATTAATTAGCTTTCTCAACTTATTAGTTCAATAATCTTAGGGTTCCAACATTTTAAACTGTGTATATTTAAAGTACAGTAATGCACATCTGCATCCTGGCACTTGGGAGGCTCAGACAGGATAACTGAGAATTCGAGGTCAGCCCATGATACATAGCAAGACCATGGCTCAAAAAACAAGGTTGGGAGATAGCCCAGTGTGTAAAATGTTTAGTGCACAGCTGAGAATCTCAGAATCAACACAAAACATGAAATGGCAGTGTCCCTCCTACGTTGATGGCATGTGGAGACAGGAGGATTTCTGAAAGCTGAGATGAGCAGCCAGCCTGGTGTCTGCAGTGGTGACAAGAGATCCTGCTGCAGACAAAGTGACTGCCACACATGTGCCATGGCACATGTAGGCCCTCCCTCACACATAAAGCCTAGAATTTGATTTGTTATAAATATTTCTGATATTCATAGGTAAAAACAATTGCTATAAATCATGGTATTACATACCTATCAAATCACACAGTTATTTATTTTTTATTTTTTTGTTTTTTCAAGATAGAGTTTCTCTGGTAATGGCCATGGCTATCCTGGAACTTGTTCTGTAGCCCAGGCTGGCCTTGAACTCACAAAAGTCCATCTGCCTCTGCCTCCCAAGTGCTGGTATTAAAGGTGTGCATCACCATGGCCCAGTTCACATAGTTATTTTTAAAACATTCTTTGGGTGGTGAAAATATTTAACAGTCTTCTTACCTACAGGCTCATCAGACCACACAGTAGCATTCTGGAGTTTATTTTACAACTGAAATGACATCTCTCTTGACCAACATCCTCCCTTCCTCTTCCACCCACTCTCGTAACCGCCAGTGTACTTTCCAGACTATTTTGAAGGTCACGTAAAGTGACACAGGGTCTGACTTTCTGTATCAGACTGACTTCACTAGCACAGTGGGCTCCAGGTACAGCCGTACAGCAGAGTGAAGAAATGCCAGCACAAACAGTGACCTCTGAAGGTCTAAGAAAACCATTTACCTGCGTTTACTAGGAATCACTCCGACTTCATCCCTTTCACCATCTGCCGTGACCTGCCTGGCTTGCCACCACTCATCATCTGAAGCGTTGATTACGTGGAGAATATCTCCAAATTTGAAGTTCAATCCTTGACTGGGAAGGCCGCTATCTTTAGTCTTGTCGTAATCAAAAAGGGCTCTAGATTCAGAATCAAAAAGTTCATAATGATTTGTTATAGTGGTAATAATCAATTTAAAAAATATATGGGATTCCAGAAGTATATATAATTTGTACAAATTATTAGTAGAGTATTTTTATAGACAAAATGTTTAGACTTATTTCACATTATATGTAAGACAGTAAGAGCAAACAGGAGTCACAGAAATCATTCTGTAATGGAAACAGTCTTAAGTATACTATTTATTGCTTTCAGTGTTTTAGGACTGGATGCCTATTTATTTGATACAGGGAATTGCTGTATAGCCCAAGTGGGCCCAAAACTCAATATTGTTCTTGCCTCAGCCTCCTAAGTGCTGGGAAGTCTAGCTTCTTTATCTCCCTGTGACTTCTAGGAAACTAAAACTGACACACGTGACTCATGAGCACTGTTTCTATTGGTCGGCGGGGACACAGATGCTTTAGCATAGGGTGGTTCAGTGCTGGGCCCAACACTTCCTGGGGCTTGGCTGTACTTTGTTTTACTTTGACAGTTTATTTCGTTTCACTTTGCTCTTTCTTTCTTTATTAAATGGGACTAATAATGACACATTGTAGAATTGTTCAGAAGATTACATCACATTTTGTAAAGTGTGTAAGAGAAATTTAACAAATCTCTGGGTACAGTCGCCTACACCTGTAGTCTCAGCTAGCCATGAAGTTGAGGCAGGAGGATTGCTTGAGTCAAGGAGTTCAGGGTGAGCCTTGACAATATATTGACACTCATCTCACAATAAAGAATAAAAATAAAAAAATCCAGCACCCAAAATTTCTTTCACTATAATCCAATAACCAACTGTATCGCATTTTTAAATGAAAAGAACTATAGCTATTCTAAACAAATACAGTGTAAACATTAGTTATTGTCCACTTTGATTGGGTATTTAGAAAAACAAACTTGCATCCATAGGTTAACATAGATGTAGAGGTATATAAGACTACACCAACATAGTTTTGATTCTGCCAGCTAGCTACTTCCTCCGCTTGTTTGCCAAGGTAGAATTAAAATACTTTATTAATTTAATCTGACATGCACAGTGTTAAGTCTTTCAAAATTTGTTAAAAAGAAAATAGTATTTGCTACCATTTAACTAATTAACACACACTATTTAAACAAACTGATGGGAAAGGCTGGCTGCAGTGTGCTTGTCTGATTCTCAGCACCAGGGACGAAAGCGGGCTCTGATCCCCAGCACTTTCAGCACACAGCCAAGAGAACCACGGAGGACTGTGGCAAGCAGACTGAAACACAAAACATCAATTCTTTTGTCCGAAGTTGAAAATCGAAAATTAAGGTAAAATTTTTCCATGCCAACCAACACTTTACATTTTTTTTTGTTGTTGCTTTTTTTGGTATTTTTGGTTTAGAGTTAATTGTTCTTTAAAACGTGGTCAGTTTTGGACATAGTGAGATGCAGAGTCTACTGTGTTCTCCACCCTTTCCTTTTACAATATATGTGCTAATGATCTAACTAGTTTTAGAGTTTTATGTAGTCTTTTATAGCATTACTTTTTATTGATATTTTATGTTTAAGAGAATATGCGCAGGTAAATGAGACCCAACCAAGCTTATGTAGTCACTACTAAAACATCAACCTAAATTTTTCTTTAGTACACATTGATTTTGCTTTTCTTTACACCATTATTAATTCAAAGGGTCACATAATTTAAATTATTAAAATTATAATATCCTAACTCTTGAAAGATACAATTCAGAAAATCACTCATGAAAATGTTTTTATTGATTTGCACTGAATTTTTCTATAGTAAATTCAAGTCAGTCACAGTAAAAACCTAAAAGAATCTGTATACATAAATGATTAAGTGATGTCACAATTATAAGACAGACTCACCTGACATAGAGGGACCGCTTCTGGCTAGTTCGAAGAGAACCCGACCCTGAACTAATGCTACTGCTCATCAGCTGCTCCCGTAAGTCATGTATTTTAGCTTCAAAACGGCTGTACTCTGATGGGAAAGAAGAAATAAACTAAATATTCCTAAAAACAAGTTTCTTAAAGGTGAAATGTAAACTATATAAGGTGTCTTAAAACTGACCTAATAGCGGGCGGTGGGGGCGCACACCTTTAATCTCAGCTTTCGGGAGGCAGAGCCAGGTGAATCTCAGTGAGTTCGAGGCCAGCACGGTCTAAAGAGTGAGATCCAGGATAGCCAGGGCTGTTACACAGAGAAACCTGTCTTAAAAAAACAAACACCCCCCCCCCAAAAAAACCCGACCTAATGACCTAAAAACTCTAAATCAGTTAGATCATTAACTTCTAGCCATTAAGTATGGCTGCAAATTTAAAATAGCAATAAGCTTCTAACTGTACCAGAAATTAGAAGTGACTAGTGGGGGATGTCTTTGTTCAAGTTACATTTGATCCACTGAAAGAAAACTCCATGAGCTGGGTGGTGGTGGCATACACTTTTTTTTTTTTTTTGGTTTTTCGAGACAGGGTTTCTCTGTGTAGCTTTGCGCCTTTAAAGGCATGTGCCACCACCGCCCGGCGGCATACACTTTTAATCCCAGCACTCGGGAGGTAGAGCCAGGTGGATCCCTGTGAGTTTGAGGCCAGCCTGGTCTACAGAGCGAGATCCAGGACAGGCACCAAAACAACACAGAGAAACCTTGTCTCAAAAAACCAAAATGAAAGAAAGAAAAAAGAAAACTCCATGAATCAAATAACACTAGTAGTTTTCATTATCTTTTAATTTAGTTGTAAAATTTAAAAAGGACTTATTCCAGTTCTCAATTTAAAACAGAAATCTACAATAATTAATGTCAGATGCTTTGACTGCTGCAATTTTCCTTGTGAGAGAAAAATTCTCAAATACAGAATTTATGCAAAGTTAATAACAATGGAAAACATACCCAGGCCAGATAATAGAACTAAACTAAACTAGTTTATAGTTTTTAAATTGTCAAAATGCCAAAATAAGAAAGGTAATCAGAAGTAATATTCATCAAATTAAAAAAAAACATTTAAATTCTTTTTTTGAAGGTGTCTATTTTAAACCATACTATAATGTTAAAAACTATTAAGTTCCCTGGTACAGTGAACCTGGTCACAAGCTCTGCCTCAGTCAGAACATTATCGTAGTCTTTTTAAGCCTCTGTGAAGTATCTTCTAATTTTGTTTTTTCTGAGTGTCCACAGACCGAGACTGGGCAACTCTGGCAGTAAAACCACAGCAGAGGAGCTTGGATGCCCCCTGGTAATCTACCTACATTTTCATGTCTTCTTGTTAAGTTTGATGATTTTATGTCTCTGGCCACTTGATGAGGGAGGCTGCCTGACGGGTTCCTTCCCCCATTTCAAGTGAGTTGTTGAAACTGTGCACATCTTTTAACTCTTTACATTAAAAACAAACAACTATTCAGTGTGTTGGGGGAAGGTGTGCATATTCCACAGACTGCGTGTGGACACAAGTTGTCAAAAGGTCACTTGTGGAAATTGGTTCTCTCTCTGTTGTGTGGATTTGGGACTGAACTCAGGTCATCAGGCTTGGTCACAGTGCCTTTACCTGCTCAGCCATCTGACTAGCCTATCAAGATTTTAATTAATCAATTAACTAACAGTAGTAAGGACTCATGATTTCCTAATTCATTTAGTAGGTTATAGTTAGTATCATATCACTTATTTATAGCAGGAATTGTTAATTTGGCCAGTGTGTCTTGTTCCACCTTGGATTTGTTTTTCTTTTCTTTTTTTTTGGAGTATGTTTCCATCATTGCTTGAATCTTTTACTTTTTGGCACAGAGTATCACAAAATAACATAGCGTTTTCCCCGCCTGAGTCTGGGAGCCAGCCATCTGTCTAAAAAGCCTCAGTTTTTAATGAAGTATTCCTCATTAGAAGGCAAGACCTAGGGACTATGCATGCTCGTTGCTACTAGGGTGCGTCTGGGTCCGGACTCTCAGTGGTATTGGGGGTAATGAATATGGATAATTATATATGCATATAAAGATGTTTAGATCTATATTTGTATTTACATCTACCTAACCTGAAAATTGAGTTCATACCCAATTTTCTAATTCTAATCCAACATTACAGAGTTTATATTTAGCTTTTTCCTTCCTATATTTAACTCATAAAAACCATGGGTAATACTGGCTTACCATGTGCATTCACTTTAGGATGTTTCTGTATATAACAAGTGTCTGTTCCATCAGCATTCACTACTTTCCTGATTGTGCTGACTACTCAAACAGGACATTACCTGGCAGAAAGCCCTTCTCATGGGTTATGCCCAGTGGACCACAACAGCACTTCTTACCATCCTAGCCCTGAAATGTACCCTGTTCTATGTAATGGTGTCAGGACCAGACTTATCAAGATGTGGAAGAGGAAGCTCCCTAGCTTCAATGTGCAAACATCTCCCCAGTTTCACTACTTCCTTAAGGAAATACTAGTCTTGGTTAAGTTTAACTTCTCCTATTTTAGCGAGTTTTCAGTCTCTGAAGGCACCGCTGTTGGGTGTTCTCTGCATACCCCCACTCTGTTCTGTGAGTACTCCTGAGACATCGCTGTCAGAAAGTCCAAGGGTGTGTCTCCTGGCATGCACCTGTCAAGACAGTATTCTCATTCTTCTTTTCAGTTCTCAAGCAGGTTTCTATGTGATTCGGTCTTGATCTGTTCATTTTTATCTAAAATTAGTTTCCAGAATCCTTTTTTATTTTATTTTTTTTAAAGACAGGGTCTCCTGTAGCCCAGGCTGGCCTTGAACTCAAGAGAGATAAATGCAGAGATTAAATGCTTGGCTTTCCCTAAAATTTTGGGTAGGCTCTGTAATAACTTCATCCTTCTAGACTAGAGCTTCCTCTTTTGCTGTTTCTGTCAAGTGTTCAAAGATCTAATCCAGTATGTGGAGACTCTCCTACTGTATTTTGCATTTACCCTATGAATTTGAGCCTCTTCTCTCCTTTGGTCAAATTATCCATTTACTTTTCCATTTGGATTTTATCCCCGGTAGTTTTTTTCCAAGTGTGGGGTTTTTGAATTGAAAGTGAGTTAGAGCAGGCTGTCATGGGCCCAACTACTGCAGCCCTTCCCAGCTGACTGCAAAGTCACTGTACTCAATATAAAGACTGCACAAAAGCTCTCCCTGCTCCTAGTAAACTGTCCTACTTCACTTGCTACCACTCACTCAAGAGGAGCTTTTCCTATTGCTTTGCCCTGGACAGGTCAGTGATATCAGAGGGGTTCAGTAGTGTTCATAGCTTGCTTAGATCAGTTTTCATTTTGTGACTCATGGAAAGTTCCACCTAGTTCCATTGTAGATTTGTTAATAAATTTTAATTTTTGCTCTCCTAATTATTTTGAAGGAAGGGGCAGAGAAGTTCTGGGACATTCAGCATGAAACCTACCATTTCGTTTTTGCATTTCCTAGGAGTTCCACTGATTCTATACTTCTGATTTTAAAAGTGACTGTATTTATTACTATTACGAGTGCACGTGGGTGTGCACACGTCATGGCATGTGTGAAGGTCAGAGGACAACTTTCAGGACTGGGCTCTCTCCTTCAGCTGGGTTCTGGGTTGAATTTGGACAGTCAGGTTTACACAAGTGCTTGACCTCACTGAGCCATCTCAGCTGTCTCCAGTTTTCCCTGTGTTACTTGTTTTGTTTTGAAAGACAATCTCAGTATGTAGCCTAGGCTGACCTCAAACTTGCTATCTTCCTCCTCAACTTTCCAAGCAGTATGCCTACAGCAGGCACGATCGCTCCAGCTACTCCTATGCTTTATTATCTTTGTTGTTTTAAAAACATGTTAGCATTGTCTATTCTGATAGTTTTATTTATTTACTGTTTTTATTTTTCTCTCTTTCTTTCTTTGATTTTTTTTTTTTGAGACAGTTTCTCTGCGTAGCCTTGGCTGCCCTGGAACTCCACCTGTAGACCAGGCTGTCCTCAAACTCACAGAGATCCACCTGTCTCTACCTCCCAAGTGCTGGGATTAAAGGCATGGGCCACCACTGCCCGGCTTCTGTTTTTTTTTTTTTTGAGACAAGGTAGATGAAAAGGCCTCAAACTCACTATGTAGAGGACAGTCTTGAATTCCTGATTCTTCTCTCTACCCCCACAGTGCCTAGGACTACAGAGACACACAACTATGCCCAGCTACATTTTCCTTTCAGTAAAAGTGTATCCATCTTTAGCCATTAGTTAGTAAAGTCCCCTAAGAACAGACGACTGCTCTTGAAGGGCAGTAACTTCTGTGCTGTGCTAGCTCTAAGTTACGATCTTCTCTTCATGTTGGGTTGATAACTTTACTACTCTAACAACTCTACAATATTTAACAATATGCTCATTACACTTTATGTAGCTGGCATTACTAGTTTTCACCTTGACAATCTGATTATGAGAAGCCTTGGGCAATTTTAAGCATTCAGCATTTTAGAAAGTTGAAAACTTTCTACCAAAAGAGCAGATTACATTTTACAGTGAGGTTGGAGAGTTCTTTCCTGAGAAGCAACGAATTACTACAGAGCAGCAACAGCCTCAGACATTGAACATTTATGATTGGGGAACTCGGATGATTACTAACAATTTCTTAAATATAAAAACAACAAATCACAAGTTTATGGTCCTTACTACTAAGAATTCTTTGTAACATTTGTCTTTATGATCCAAACACTCTTCAACACACTTCCCAATGTTACTTTAAAACGGTACACTTCATTTACCTCATCAAAACTGCCGTCCTCTGCCCTTGTTTCCATCGGTTCCCACCTGTCCTCCCATTGCCACCTTCCATCTACCCTGTGACTGCTTTCTCCTGCTTCATCGGGGAGAATCTGGTCTCCCTTCTTGGTTATGTGGACCCTTCTAGAAATCACACATGCTCTCTGATAGAGCTGCTACCGGGAGAGAACAGACTGTGCGCCACACAGGAGATGTTCTCCAACATTTCAAAGACTAAAGACTAGAGCATATTTTATCTCGTGTGACATATTAAGAGTTATTTGAAAACATCTAAACAGCATGTGCATGCTTATTTGAGGAGAGATAATGTTTAAAGCCCCCTCCCCATTTTAAGATCCACAAATCTGGTATTCAGGAAAATTTTGGAAATAATAAACATATACAAGAGCAATCTATAAGGAAACCACTGAAATAGGAATCACATACTAAATACTAGTATCTAAAAAAATTCTTTTATTCAAAACTTTTTTTTCCTGTTTTTGTTCTTATTCGAGACAGGAATTCTCTGTGTAGCCATGGGTGTCTTGGAACTTGCTCTGTAGCCTGCCTCTTACCTCCGGAGTGATGGGATTATTAAAGGTGTGTGCCACCACTGCCCAGCTTCAAAATTTTCTTTTTAAATTAAGACTAGAATAGTACTGATCTTCACCAGACCTCCACACCCCCCAAAAAGAAACGAGGATCAATCTCAAAGATCATTTAAAGAGAAGCTCAGAAATCACACACACACATACAAAATCCCCAAAAAACCCAAAATAAAACAAGTACAAATACCATAAAAGAGAACAAAGAGGAAAATTTCTGGGCACATTCAGTAACTCTGGAGAAACACTATGAGCAGCAAGTACACCTATTCAATATGGGGCATGTGCTAGACTTAGTTTTATAAAAGTCAGTGGTCATTAAAAAAAAAAAAAATCAAGACTACATGTGTTCTGTTCCACTATAACAATCCTTCCTGTTATCAGAAAAGTTTTTTGTTTTTCGAGACAGGGTTTCTCTGTGTAGCTTTGTGCCTGTCCTGGATCTCACTCTGTAGATCAGGCTGGACTCGAACTCACACAGATCCACCTGGCTCTGCCTCCCGAGTGCTGGGATTAAAAGCGTGCACTACCACTGCCTGGCTAGTAGAAAGTTCTTATGAATGTATTGAATTGAAATTTCAAACATTTACTTTCTAAAGGATTTTTAAATAAATTAAATTGAAATATAAATATATCACTCCCCCTTTCCTTTCCTCCCTCCAAGCCCCTCCCACATTCTTTCACCTTCTCTAATTGATGTCCTCCTTTTATTATTATTGGCACACACACACACACACACACACAGTACATAAACATGTAAGTACAACCTGCTAATTATGGATATGTTGCACAGACACACTTGTTTTCCTTTGACAACATCGCCCTAGCCTATTTTTAGCTTTTCTCGAGCTCTGTCTTATTTTGTTTGCTTTTGTCCTGTACTCCCCAATGAATTGCTGCAGTGTCTCTGGGTTTTGTTAGCTTACCTTAATCTCTCTCCGGCTCTTAGACTTCTACTTTGTAGTTTTTTTCAGAGTGGATGCATAAACTGTTATGGAAGCTGAGGTTACATTTCACGTCACATGTTGTAGAGCTCTGCTGCTACTTTCTGCTGTTCATAACACCTTCATATGAATGCTCAGATTAGCTACTTTTAAACTACATATTACTCTGAGTTGAATTTTGTTGGACCAGGAAAATAAGAGTAAATATAATAGCTGGTAATTGTATTTCTTTTAGATGCTTAAATTATAGAATTTTCATTTAATGCTTAAATTATAAATTATTTAATTTAGCTCCTTCAGCGACATCACTTTTCCTTCCTCATCATATTGTTTATGAACATCAACAAGTATGCTACTATGTATTCTTTTGGGTGTCCAAACTGATCAACTCCACTGAGGTTTTACTAGTGAACTGGTAATGTTGATGCCTACTAGAGTTTTATACATTGTTTACTAGGATATTACCTCACACTTTCCATTATTATTTTCTTCCCTTAGGAATCTAGTCAAACTCTGTCATGATGCTTTAGTGTCTAGAAACACAATATAATACAAACTTCATTCTTCTATTTTAAACAACAAATGCTACTAGAAAATATTATATTAATAAGTATAATCTAATTCAATAAAAAAAAACTCTTGAGTAACTTCATTTTCTTTAGCAGCATTACTACTTTTATTTATGGTTTTTATTAATCTTTTAAATCAATGAGTTAGTAAAAGTGATATTAAGATGTGTTAAATAGGAAGTCAGATTAAAAAGAAACTTGAAAATTAATCCAAATAATGGTACAATCTCAAAAGAGTTGGCAGATGAAGTGTCCCTTACCCTAATGAAAAAACACTTCTGACTTGGAAAATGAATTGGTTTAGACTGGACAAATGCTGGATTAGCAAATTAAAACAAAATATAAAAGAGTTAAGATTAGAAATGAGACATTACTGTGGGCTGGGGATGTAGTTCAGTTGGCAGGTGTTTGTCTAGCATGAATAAAGCCTGTGGCTTGATCGCCAGCACAGTATGAAGACAGGCATGGTGGCATTCAACCATAACTCTGGTATCTGGGAGGTAGTGGCAGAAGGATCATTTCAAGGTTATCCTCAGAATCACACTGAGTTCAAGGACAGACAAGGCTATATGAAAGCCTGTCTCCAAAAATAATAAAGGCAAAAAAGGTAAACATTATCAAGAAGAAGAATGTAAAATTAAGAACATTCAATAGTAATAGGCAACAAGAATTGTATTACCTTCAGGTCGATATTGTGCAACGATAGTGACAGCTTGGCCTGCATTTTTTAATGCGGCTGCTGCTTGCTCATGACTTGCAGCTCTGAGGTCAACACTGTTTACCTATAAATAAAATCAAATACTAATGTAAGAAAACATAGTCTTTGATTAGAAATCAATGGCCTGTTTGTTATGTGAGTAGGCACAGGTTAGTTGCAGTACTTTATTGTTTAAATACATTATACAGTAAAACACCACATGATTATTTTAAACAATTTGATTCACTAACAATACTTTATCAGCAAGAGGAGAAAGTCAAGCATATCCTTGAAGGATTTCAGAAGGCTGGTTACCCAACTAATAATAATACTTTATCAGAATGGTTTCTGACTGGTTCTACTCTGTAGAACCACCACACATTCCCTGGATCAAGTCCTCTTGGCTACAATGTATGACTATATGTTTCTAGATACACTCTATTACTCTGTTGAGGGTCTAAACGTCTACATTCACAAACAATGTAGCTTTCTTGTTCTATCTGTCTGCCTCACAAACTGAGTTGGGAAAATATTACAATTCTTCTGATTTTCAGGAGTTTCTTAATTTTTTGAAAGATTGTCAGTGAAACTGTCTAGTCTTGGCCTTTTGATTTCTCTTTCTTGCTCCATATATATAATCCATATACCATAAAATATATTTATATTGGTATTAGGATCAAATCCATGACTTTACGAATGCTAAGTACATGCTCTATCACAAAATTACAATCCAAACCTTTGATTAGTGATTTATTGTTTGTCCTTTCTTGCCAGCTTAGAGCTAGCATTCATTTTTCTTATTTTTGGTTTATATCTTTTCCAAATTTATGAACAGTGATGTATGTAACAAATACCTATTATTTTAAGTATATAAGCATATGTATACATATATATATATACACATAGATATATTTAGTAACCACTTTTGTTTTAAAGTCTATATTCTTATTATTTGTGCTTGTGAATTTTATCTAATGAGGTACTTAAATGTTTTTCCTAGAGTTTTTAGGTCGTGTTCAGTTTTGAAGATCTTTTTGCACATTTTCCTCTTGCTCCTAAATATTTTTCTCCTTTGCTTTCATGGCACTTCCCCACAGAAGACTAGTAAGCATTTACGTATCAATGTTACTGATGTATATTGTCAAACAATGCTGCCTCTAAACATAACCAGGGTGAGCCTTGAACTCTCTGGAGTGGTCTTGGCTGTGCTGCTGGCCTAACATATTTTGGCAACATTGTGTGTCAGTGAACCACATAAGCTAGTCTCACACTGGCAACTTAAAATTATCTATTATGCTCTGAGTTTTTCACACCAAACCCTATGCCAACTGAAAATGTACTTTGACAGAGGTTTTAAGTGAAGGTCCTAAGCTAATTTTATTTTCCTAACTAGCTAATTTGTTTAATGACACCACCAATTTATCCTTACCACACTAAAACTTATTTTTAAAAGACTAAACTACAGTATAGCTTCAAAAATATAAAACAAAACAAAAAACTCTATGACTAATTAAGATGGAAATATCTGGCAACTATATACACCCATGAAACTCCTTAAAGAACATACATGCCACCTCTATTATCCAGCCCTGACAGTTCTACTGGACACTTTAAAAAAACACCTTTTTATTGATTCTTTTTGACTTTCATATCACGCACCCCAATTCCACCCATCTCCCCGTCCTTCCATATCCTCCCTCTGCCCTTTGAGGTTTGTCCCTCAAAGAAAACAAAAAAGTCAATGTAATAAAAGACAAAAAAATTAAAAAGTGTCCAAAAGTGACAAAAAGACACTTATGGTTGCTCTCATCTTTGACAGAGTAGTGAAGGAAGGAGGAACAGAAGGAAATAAGAAGAAGCCACTAAAGAAAACTACTCAACATCTGGTTTCTTGTAGACTGGGGAAAACAAAATTTCCAGGAAGCCACAAGACAAGTCTATGCCCAACCTGTTAACCTCATTACAATGGATCTTGACTGAGTATTCAAGTAGTCAAGTTTGGGGACTGAAACATAAGCATTAAGAAAGACTTACTCATTTCTGAATTTTAGAGGGTATTTCCAAATACAAGATAGTAACTGTGGTAGTTTGAATGTAATTGGCCCCCATAATCTCAATATGGCCTATTAGGTGGGTGGCCTATTAGGACATGTGGCTTTGTTGGAGTGAGTATTGCCTTGTGTATGTCACTGTGGGGGTAGGCTTTGAGGTTTTCTATGCTCAGGATATCGTCCAGTGTCTCAGTTGACTTCCGGTTGCCTGCAAGCCATGATGTAGCCAGCACCACATCTGCCTGCACTCCAGCACACTCCCCACTATGATGATAATGGACTAAACCTCTGAAATTGTAAGCAAGCCACCTCAATTAAATGTTTTCCTTTCCTTATAAGAGTTGCCATGGTCAGGTGTCTCTTCACAACAATAAAAACCCAAACTAAGACAGTAGCCTACTAAATGTAGATCATGATAATATTCAATGTAGTCAAAGTACTAAAAACTGACACTGAAAATCTGTCAAAAATTAACAAAAGTAACTCTTTACTTTTAGTTGCTTGGGAACAAAGTGAACCAAGAGAGGTCAAACAAAGCCCTCCAAGTCAGTGCAGACAGAAGAGAGCATAGAATGGGAAACAGATATTCCCAAGGTAAAGAACAAACACAGGACGGACATTCAGAGAACACAAAGGACTACAGCACCTCGAAAAGTTGGGAGCTGAGTTATAAAGTAGTTTTGGAAGTTGGCAGCTCAGCTATAAAGATCTTCCAGTCCTCAAAAAATGCTTGCTTGATCCTATTCTTAAAAACCAATCAACCAACTAACCACCAACCAAAAACCAACAAAACAAAACAAAAAACAACCAACCAAATACCCCCACTAAATTAAACTGAAGCTCTAACAAAATATAGTTCAATTACAGATCATGTGCGTACAACTTGATTCTGGAAGCCTTAAACACGAATCATTCCCTAGGATCAATCCCCAATATACAAATCATTCTATTACAGAATAAAAACATATAGTATTTACTTCATGCTTTAAACAAAATCTGGTTATTCAATGAGAACAAGAGAGGAGGGCGGGAGGTGGGGGAGAGACCCGTCGGACTTCCCCACCCAGTTTGCATGCCCACTTCTCCCTGATAAGAGAGAGGAGGGGGGGGGGGGGTAAGGTCAAAGCACACTTGCTACAGCTGGGTCTCTCTTTCCACCCTGTGGGTTCCAGGAACTGAAACTCAGGCTTAGTAGCAATCACCTTGTGTATTATTTTATCCAAAACGTCTCATGATAGTTAAGATTACAAGACAAGAAAAGATGGAAGACAAAGAGAAGTTAGGTGGCTGTGGTGGCACATGCCTCTGATCTTAGTACTAAGAAGCAGAGGCAAAAGGATATCCAAGAGTTGCTAGCCATGCCGGACTACACTATGGAGGGTAGCGGGCCAACCAGGGCTTTAATGAGACCTTGTTACTAAAAATAATGATTATTATGATAAAATCATGATGATGAAAATGCTAACAGCTGTAGAGACAGACGATATGGATGATAAGTTTGGAGAGTTTGAGCAAAGGCATAATAACTATCAAAAAATGAACCAAATGAAATTGCTAGGGAAAAAAATGATCAGAGATTTTCTTTGAAAGACTTAGTAGTATAGGAAAATTACCAAAAGTAAGAAATAGGAAACCTGAACATAAGTCACAACAAGTTTCCAAGCTGAAACTTAAAGACAGGGAAAGACGAAAGACAGACCATCTCATCATCCGTGGAATAGTATCACACAGTTTAACAAACACAGGGGAATTCTGAAGGGATACTGACAGACAGAACTCCTAAAACTGACAGAGGAGACGCAAGACGGCAGGCAGAGCCGTAACAGCACTGCCATGCAAGCCTGTGAACCTGAAGTTGATCTCCTGAAGCCATGTCGGAAGAGAGCTGACTTACGGAGACTGTCCTTGGACCTCCACCCACAGCATGCTTGCTCAATACCCCATAATTTAAAGAAGTGCTGAAAGAGAAAGAAAATGCTGACAAGTTCTATATTCAGTGAAATTATGAGAAAAGGAGGTGAACGAAATATAGTTTAAAAAATCAGTACTGAAGAAAAAGTAAAAAGAAAAATTGGAGAATATTGTAGTGTAAATAAAAAGCAAAGATATGAGACAGAAATCTGTAAGAATTACTAATTAATAACTGTATCCCATCTGGGGATGTAGCTCAGTGGTGGAGCAGATGTGTAGATGTGAGGCCATAGGTTCAGCCGAGTGCCATAAATAATGGTTGGTAATCATTATATAACAATAAACTGTTAGATGCGGAAAATGTCAGTTTGGTTTAAAAACAACAACGACAATAACAACAACAACAACAAACAAAAAACACAAATAAGACTGAACTCGACAATGAGTATCAGAAATATACTTTTAAGTTATTTTTAAAATTCATTTTTTAATGATTAACAGGTAACAGTAAAGACAATAAAAACATCTAATCATCAGATCCTACCGATATAATACGATCTCCTTTTCTGAGCTCTCCACTGAGATCAGCGGGTCCTCCAGCCAGGATGAAGGAGATAAATATTCCTTCTCCATCCTCACCTCCCACAATGTTGAAACCAAGTCCTGTTGAGCCACGATGAAGAACAACTTTTCTAGGTTCCCTAAAAATGAAGAAAAAAATGAAATACCTACAATAAATGAAATGTCATGTAGAACTTGAATTCTCCCCAGAAACACATCCTACTGATGACTCCTCTGAGGGATGAGGCCCTACGATGGCACCCTGGCTGACCTTCAACTATCTGGCCTCAAATTCATAGTGACCTTACCCAGTCTCCAGAGTATGGGGATTATAGGCATGTGTTACTATTACCAATCAACACACAAAGTTAAATGGAAAAAAAAAAAAAATCAAACAAAACAAAACCTAAATGTTATATAAAAGGTTTCCCAAAATTACAAGGGAAAGAGAAATAGAAGGAATAAAAAAATCTAATTTTATATAAAATTAAAAAAATGGTAAAAATCAAGCAAACAAAACACATTTTATAAATATTCAAAGAATAAAAATATCAAA